TTGGCGCCCGCGTCGCTCGAGCGTCAATGAAGTTCTCTGCTTGCAAGAAAAAACTAGTCATATGTAAAGACCTTGGACAGCGTGTCTGTGACGGTATGCTAGTAGTTGAAATAAAAATAGACAATTATCTATTGGCACTGGATTTTTACGGCTGGCAAATCAATACATGTCATTTGCTTGTGCCTAAATTGTATGTACGGCTGATTAGCTACGCATACGCTTACTTATACCGTTATAAAGTTCTACATTACCATCATTATCATTTGTAAAAGAGATATTTAGTTATCACTTTGCGCCTTCAGATATGTTTATATTCCCCAAAATGGCTGTGACGGACTTTCATGTATTGTATCTTAAATCTTTACCAAAACGATACGTACGCGCTAGACGCAGCGTTTTGCTTTGTGTTGAGGAGTTTCAGACTTTACGTCTTGGCTCCAGTTCATCCTGTGCCATCTCGCTCCAACGATTTCCTGCCTCGCGTCCTTCTGACTCACACAAACAGAGCAGATCAGCCATCGAAATCCGTAACTGCCTGCACAGTGTGAAGCACCGCGAATTAACAAACGGCGGAGAAAATCGCCGTATTAAACCACTTTTCCTACTTCAATCACTATACATGATCGCAAACCTTGCTCGGCGACTGCCTTCACCACCATCTTTGCCCATAGAACAAAGATATGGTAACGGCCGAAGCAGAGGTACGTAATTTTGCGTTAGTTTATTGATGACAGCGTGACACTCGTTGATCGGGTAGCGGGCGAATATAATGGTGTCTAGCGAAAAACGTCCTGTCTGAAGCGTACAGCCTTCCTACTGGTTTACTGATAAGGACCATTAGTTACGCGGCAGCAGTAGTAGCAACAGTATTCAATAGTACTTGTCGAACAGGTACATGGTTATTATAATCATTAGTAACGGGTCAAATTAAAGTATCTATATCATCAAGCTTTGCGACCTAAACGAAACGCATCAACTGGCGCTCCACCGCTGAAATACAGAAAAAAAAAAAAAAAAAATATATATATATATATATATATATAGATAACTAACTAGGAATAGCCATAATAGGATCAATACTTGTGGACTTGGCCTGTCATACTGGACATCATTCATATTCAGTGTAACAGAACAAAAAAAAGAAACGAAGTGAAAGTATTACAAACGTCTTTCACTATCGAGACATTCATATGTAACTCATGCTCACGTAATCAACTGGTAATTGCCTAAATATATAGCCATTCAGTCCAAGATAGTTCTTCGTTTGTGTGTCGTACAAGATTAGATAAATACTAAGATGTGCCTTGCAATTCAGGTCTTTACTTTCCTTTATGCAGAACATACACTAGCATAATTTAAATGGCGGTTACAAACAGATTACGTGTGAACAGAATGTCTCTAATAGATTTCGTCACCGCGTACACGGGGTATCGATTGTTGTCCTGTATCATAGAACAGTTCTGCGTTTATCTCCCATTTTGAATACGATGTTGGCAAATGCAAGCGGTTTGACGCCATGGAAACCCCTGCCGATTCCTAGTCAGGTGCTAAACCAACAGATGACTAGATACGACCAGTCGAAATCAAATGTCTTACTCTTGATGCGAGTAGTTGATTTCGATCTTCTTAAATCATCCGAAGATGGAGGAACAATTTATTCGCACAAGGGCGCATTAATGCGCCCGCTGAAGTCGCATCAACTTCATTGATAATAATAATAATAATAAAAGTTATGGGTGGGGGGTAGACTATATGAATGTTGGTTGTTATCAGCTGTGAAACTGAAGGTATCTACCAACAATACAGAGAATATGGCGCCAAGCACGTCATTAACATGTAAAGATAATCCTTTGGTAGCACAGATATACATAATAAAATTTGCGCCGAGCTCGTGTCTGTGACAATCAAAAACATAAATAACAAGTTATAGATAATCAAATCTGCCGCTGTCGCGTGCGTGAAGTTCGCTTTATCAAGTACTGCTATCTGGCACTAATGAAAGTGTTGAAACTCTGTTAGTCTAAATTGTGTCTTTTGTTTTTTGTATAACGCGTACGATGAAATAACTAGATCAAGCTTACTGCTTCACGCTTCACTGAGGTGCTGTTAATTTGCTTTCCACCAGAAGCTCACACGCCCAAACATCACTTGGAGACTAATATGTTTGACGCTTACCTTAAAATCTTCTGCTTACGTAGATGCTGCAGTTCGAAAGTTCCGTCATATCAAATTTACTTGCCGTCCATATTGGTGTCGAGACCAGTGACGTTTCTACGTGCGTAACAAATACAGAGAAGCGTAATAGCACCCTTACGTGTCATGTGTAACAAAATCACACAAGATCAAAAAACAGTAAATGCATCATGTTTGAGGATGATTCTTTCCCCGTTTGATTTTCCTTGCTCTGTCAGAAGCTGCACTATACGATACGTGCCGTCATTGATGGCGATTACGATGCCTCCCTAACCGACGATTGGCCTTCTAGCGTAAGCAGTTCAACAGAGTCAGTTGAAAAGCGTTGTTGTACATGGCCTAGGTACTGTGAAACATACTCAGAGTGACAGAGTTTCAACTCCGGTTCGATGCCCTGATCGCCTAGCAGAACAGTGCCAAGGGCTGAGTATTGTAGGAGGCCTCAGTGCTTTCCATCGTCCACACGTATATCTAGACGGATATATTGATATGGAGACGACCCTCGTGTAAGCTCCTTTCGCTCTTCTCTAATGTGTGGGTTCGTCTTTGATTGATGTGATCGAGCGGTAGCTATCTACAGTGGGACCCTTCTTTTAGCCGCGTTAATTTGTTTGCCTTTCTTTTTTGGCCGTTTTCATCTTTTTCCTCTTCTAAAGCTTCTTCGGCAATCATTCAGTTATGTCGTCATCTACAGTTTCTACTATCATTTTTTGGTAACATTACCCTTCTCTCAAGAGGCAGATGCTACGTGATATGCGCGCCTAAAGGCTTTATTCCGTTACTGCGTTTTCATTCTGTCGAGATCAAAACAGACATAAAGTGGAACTGAATGGTAATTCGCTATATGGTCGCTCACGTACACACTGCAATGGACGCCGTTTATCTTATTGATTGTCTGTGACTTACTTGATGGTTACTGCGGTAGATATTTGCTGCGGCAATGGCCCGACCTCGCCACTGCCATTTTCTCTGATTAACGCTTTTCTTGTCAGACTGGATACCGGACGTAAGCCGAGCAGACTAACCTTCAGTGTCCTTTTATAAAATATTTCCGTAACAAGACTTCAATTTGATGTACAAGCGAACCGAGAGATGTGCCATGTAGAGATCCTGACTCTCCTGCCTTAAGAAGAAGAAAACGGAGATGAAAATGAACAACTGCCGAAGCTGTTGGCGTTATACAATGGTTTGCAGTATTGGTCGTGATGAGTGATACTGTATGGATCACACGTGAGATGCATACACTGCAAATGCATTAAAGAACGATGCACGCCAATAAGAAGTAAGCGGCGACATGATTGAGAAACAAGCTAATCTCGTGCTGAGCTTCCGTGCAGTATGTCAACCCGATGTAAGAAATTGGAGCAATTCGTGTAACCCCAATGTTATGACGAATCACAAAAATCGTTATTTTACTATTTATCGTTGCTGATCCACCGGTAACAATAGCAGCGTAATGGCTATCGTCGACACATTAGCCGTTCCTGGTCGGTTAATGGTGTTAGTATTGATTTAATCTAATTAAGGCTGATTCTCCTTCGGTAAGTTTTACGTTTTTTTGCGCTGTGATCTTAATTCATCAACTTGTCATGCCATTTCGTCACCTAAAAAAGTTCCGTCAGGGATAAGAGGCGGAACTTAACTAACATGAAAACAAGCTGATTGGTTCCTGTAGCCGGAATTGATTGTTGTATTTTTTTGTCAGTAACATAGTTGTTTTGATTCACCTAGATTTACTTCATACGGATGAGCTTTGTTATTCGTTAAGCTCTTGAATTTCGCATTTAACTGTTATGTTTTTAAAACTTTTTAGACGTCTATCGTACGTGGGCTAAAGGGATGGACAAATGGGACTTAAAACAACCCGTTAGCAGATATCTTGCGTATGGCATATTGGGCAGTAATTTTACTTTTTCTTCTGTTTTTTTTTGTCGTCAAAAACAATTTTGGCTTTTAGTCTAGATCAACGTGTAAAGGCGTTTCAAAAAGGAACCATGTATATTCTCGAGTTGATTTGATCTGCACAATTCTAGTTTACAAGTCTATTACATTCATTCAAACACAGTTGTTTGTTTGTTTGTCCCACATCGGATAGAAGGGAGGAGCCTGTGTGAGGAGCGACAGTCATATCTGCATCTATCGCGCACCTGCATCCTGTCGAAGCGGCAAAGTTACTGAAACTCGACGTGCAGAATAGATCTGGCCTACTATAGGTGCCGCTACGTCCAAAACGTCAGCATGGCGGCCAGGTGCAAGCTTCTCTGCTGGTTTACATACGCAATTAACTTGACCGACTCAATAGGGGAAATATCTAAAGTATTATCAGAGATGGAACGTACGCGCTATATGCGGAATAATCACTTTGAGAGGATTCACCGACGGCATCGAATACTACGGCACATACGCATACAATATAGGTTGTACTACTACTGCAAAATAGATGTACACACAAACAGATACGTTAAATATGTAGTCCTCGAATATGATCTGTGCTACCTGTCGTATAAAGCACAGAGATCGTGTGGGCGCCCGTCCTTGTGCTGCGTAAGCTTCTAGCTAGCTTCGCCGAAAAATCACAATACGTACGTTGACCACATAGCAAGTGCACGCGTACCTAAACGCTTCGTAGCGGAACAGCATTCGAAAGACTGTGACGCCTTTTTAGTGTATTTTCAAAAAATGATCTACTACAGGGAATTTTTTCATTCGATTTGGTAATTTTCAGTAAAGAACCACTAATAGTGCTCCTCCTTGGGTTTTTTTTTCTGAATACATCTTATTTTGCTTTTGTTCCCGGCTGATTGCAGGTGATGGTAAAGGTTTACGCCCGCGTTCTTTGCTCGGACATTGAGTACAAGACGCTATGTATAGATGGGACTACTTCAGCTCAGCAGGTGATAATGATCTTACTGCAAAAATTCAAAATGAAGCATCGTGATCCCAATCTATATTACCTCACCATGGAAGTCTGGATGCGTAGTACAGGTACGAAGTTATCATAGAAATGCACTAAACACGTCGCTTTTAAAGCAAGTTGATGCAAGCAATAAAAGGTTGAACTGGTCACACGTTAGTTATATCGATCGCATTAATAATTATTACATAAAAAATTAAACAAAGATAAATTATAAAGAACTTCATATATAGTTTAGTAAATAATACAGCGAACTGTATCGATTGAAAGGCTAGATATGCGCGAACTTTGTCGGAATTATAGGCCATGATTAGGGTGGCCTTTATTCAGACCTGGTAGTGGAATCATATATATATATAGTCGACAGCTTAGATTTATCAGGTACGTCTAGGTATAATGTTCTAGTTAGCTAGCCATTATCACTAGATATGTGTGTCTTTCCTGTTTAGATCGTATTTTTCATATCATCAACTAACACATTGCTTTTCCATAGGAATCCCCATCCGGACAATTATGGTCCTAGACGATGAGGCTCGTCCCGCTGAGTTACAAGCGTGCCACCCTAAAGGAGAGTCAAAATTTCTACTTCAGACTCGTCGCGGAGGGTTAATCAGGGTTTACGATAGCTGTCTTATGGCCGGGGTATGTTTATGAATTTGTACAAGAAGTATATTTATGTAGCGACATATATGAGCACATAATGGGCGTGAATCTGTCTCCGAATCAGCATGCATTTATAATTTTTATTTATAAGTAATTTTTAACCACATTGAGAATATTATATATCGAACTGCTGCGTAAACCGTGCGGCTGAATTAGAATAGGCTTTCAGTTCACCTAAGCCTACACCTGTCTAGAACGGCTTCAGAATCATATATTTTTTTATAAGTATTTTTGATCACGTCCTCCAAAGCAGATCAGTTTTCGTACATTGATAAAATTCATCATTTCAAACCAATCACACAAAGAATACTTTGTTTAAGCTACGGTATCATATGTCGGTAGCACCAGAACAGGGCTTCTGTTACCTAATCGTTGTTCTCTATACATAGAGTAATGGTACGATTGTGCATGCAAAATTTATAATTTTTCGAAAATATGCTAGTTAGTTGTAGTAATGAATTATCGTTGGATTCCTCATTTCATGTAACTGTGCGCCGGTTGTAACTTGTAGTCGCTCTACAAGTCTCTACTTGTGTCAGAGAAGACGACGGCCGAGCAGGTGGTCCAGCTTGTCCTACACTGTTACAACTCGCTTGAGAGACCATCAAAGTTTGCCCTGTATCTCGTGTCACACACGTCCAGCTGTGCGTGCCTGTTTCTTCCTTTCTGTGCAATACATATAAACAGCGTCTTTTCACAGCCATTTGCGTAGTCATTTCTTCGTGTTTTTCCATTACGTTCGAACCAAAAATTTGTTTTCGCAGGACTCGTAAGATTCTCCTCGACAATCATAATGGACTAAAACAGGCTTTATTATTATTATTATTATTGCTTGCAGTGAAGAATTTTAAATTTACCAATAAAATTCAATATTATCATTGTTATTATATCCTCATAAGCTGTTGCTTCCGGAATTAGCAATATAATTTTGACATCTCTAACCTGTAATGCGTGCTCTAAATGCGATTTGTAGATGAACGTATGGTGTACCCTCAAGAGGTCCCATTGAAGCTCCAGCAGGACTGGCCTTCATCCCAGAGACTCGCGTTCCACCTTCGTCGCGCGCAGACAACCACGTCCTGTCCCTCCACATGGAGTACCGGATCAACCGGGTCCAATTCATCGGCGTCCAGGTACTGTGGGCTACGCGAAGCATTCTCCAGACAGCATATTGCTTAGCTACACTAATTTTCCTGCATCTAACTCTACTGCTGCCGTGACCAATTACGAAAGAATTTCTAATTTCCATTTCGTAAATTTGACATACTTACTAAGGAAGGAATTTGATACATAATAGTAATATTAAGACTCATCATCATAAGCATATTACAAAGTTCCGCGAAGCTTCAAACCGTAGTTTGAATTTTTTTGAATAGTTTGGATCAAATATAAAATAACACCCTACTTTAGTCTGTACTCATCATCATATTTATTATTACAATTCAATATCCATACGCGTCCACTTCCGTATGACTGTATCTGGCTATGGTTGGTTTATTCAAAGGATTAACTTTCGTTCTCTGCACGTGTATATCCGTAGCACGCTGTCATCTGAGTCCGTATCCAGTATTCAGTCGGTATTTCATTCACGCCCGACAACAACGGCAGCTGCATTGTCCCATAACACGCCCCACACAACCCTCGGTGTCCACAGCGTTCATCCCCTCACTCGGCCAACGATTCATACATCTTTGAGCCATCAGCAGAATGAACCCCTTCGTCGTCAGCAGGTTTCTCCGCCTTCTCTTCCTTTGCTTCTGTCCCCGCCACTGCACAAGCATCATCAGGGCCTTCAGCCATCGTCACAAGAGCTATACATTCATCGACTGCGCACGTCGAGGTCATCGGTCGAACTATCCTCGGCCGGATCATCAAGTTCGGCCTCTTCGGCCACATCGGCATCACCTGGATCGTCGCCAGCGCCCACTGCAGTGTTTCTAGGTAGCGGGGGAACCGCTAACGCAGTCGGGGGCGGCCTTGTCGCTCCTGGTAAATCCCACTACAATTCGTACGAGAACTGTTTTTACATCTAGCAATACTGCCACCAATCCTACGGTGTGAGAAAGGCTGTCTGGATGATTCTTGCACAGACCTGGTGTTCTTGTTCCACAGGCCCGAGTTTGACTGAGTGAGATGTGAACGCTACCGCATGAAAAATTCCAAAAGCGTTTTTGTTTTTTTTTCTTTATCGATAATGAGTTTTTTTGTTCAGGGGCAAGCGAAAGAGACGAAAAGCCGTACGCCTTCTTTTTGAAGTAATAGGCCAATACGACATCGTTTGGCTCATGTCTCATGACAACTATTTACGTTTCTTATGGTAGTGTTCGAGCAATTCTGCGGAAAGCAATATTTCGAAGTTGCAACTAACTGGAACGGGACAAAACACTTTTTCCCGAATAGTTCACTAGATGCACAACGCGAGAATGAGAGTTTGATGCCAATAGAGATAGCAGAGTATATTCAAAGAGAACGATGAATGACTGTACAATTGGAGTTGCATATATATGTATGAGGTAAATGGCGACAGAATCTTCGGCGAGTCGTTATACGTTAATGTTATATTGTTGTTACCGGCGCACGGAGTTATGTCGCTGTGAACGAGCGATGCTAGTCAAATGCTACCAAACAAACAAATATCCACTCAATTTTTAATCAACTAACGAAACACAAACATTTCATGGACAAAATGCTGATGAGACCTTTAAAGACGAAAATACAAGGTTGAATGTGCTAACGATTTCGCCTGCTCTACAAAGGACCGTGCGTAAATAAAAAAAGCCCCAGCGAGCGAAATCAGGAGGAGGGGAAACAAAAAAAAGTAAACCCAGTGTATGTACGAACATTTGTGTGGGGTCGATATGACCAAATATTAATTAATTTTGAATTTATTTACTAATTGTATTGGAAATATTAGGATGCAGATTATAGGCAAAGTGAAGCAAATCATGGACCAGCGTATTATTCAGGAAGGAATTAGCACACAAGTATATAACACAACACGACATAACGCTGGGGGCGTCTTCGATGCCTATAGAATCTATTTTTATTTTTGCATGTTTGTCATTTGTAAAAGAGTTTTTCTATTGTCAGTTTAGCCTTTTGCCTTTCAAACAAACGTTCTTGACCATTAATGTTAAAACAGTTACGGTCTATACTATGTTAGTTACTAGGCCCTTAGTGTGCCATTGATGATACATGAACAAGGGAACTGTGTACGGGCGTCAGACATTTGTGTAGTAGCTGAAATGGCGCTCATATTTTTCACAGCCTGAAGCATTATTTCTTCCTCGTGCTCCAACCTGGGCAGAAAACGTATCTAGGCTGACCAGTCATCTGATCCATGGTCTATATTTTCTTCCGCCTAGCATAATTAACTTAGATGTACCGGACGGCGTGTATGCCAAGATGTTCGTATTCGAATATGGAGCGACTTTCCACAGATACCCCACTTCCCCCATTGAACCACGCACCACTTCGTATCGATCGTGTACAACGGCTGTGCATGTGGCATCGAGCAGTATGGGGCCGGGATAAAGTAACGTGTTACCATCCGTGTACATGTGGGCACGTCGGAGCGCCACAGATAAACTCGAATCGAAAGGAACGAAAACAAAGAGCACTGAACCAAAATTCGGTGTTGTTAAACGTAAAATTGCGTATTTATTATTATTTACATCAAACGATCATTTAATGTTATGCATATACAACACAGAATGATTGTTCAGATACTAACAGGAGCAGCAGCAACAACAAAAACAGAAACCAAAGCAATAACTTAGCGAACTATAGTGTATCGTAAATTTATGCATGGCTAACGCAATACGCCAACAGATTCGAGGTGACTACCGAGCAGGTCGATAGACCTATGTCAGAGTGGATTTATCGATGAAGGCAAATGACACAAGGTTAGCTAGGCAGACCGGAGTTAATAAACGAAGCTGTAAAGAGTTTAAGCGAAACAAGGCGAGGGGATGAAGCCACGCTGAAAACTAAGAAAGAGAAAGCCATGGAACAAAAGACGAAGTAATATAAACCGATCGTAGTAAACCGTTCGATTTCGCTGTAGATTATCGATTTCAAAAAAATCAATCGTCACTATAACAATTATTATTAATAATTAAATGTATTATTACTGTGTATAATATCTATAATGAGGACAGAAAAATAAAAGGTGTGTTACTCCGAACGAAAATTACTATATCGAGTATTTATTTAGCGTCCATAGAGACCTCATATAGCATATATTGTCAGTGGTCGAAGTCCTATCAGGACAACGATTTCAGTAAAGGGATGGAACGAAGACGGAAAACGAATGATGATACATACAGTACGTAATATTGAAGCAAATATCAACGAGATTACCTGAAATTTTTTTTTTTTTTCAAATATTCCCTTTTGCAAGCTAGGTTCAAAGTTTCGACGAATTCTCGCAACAATTCAGAACCGGGAAAACATTATTCAACTTCTTATATAATTTCTATAACTTCTAAACTGTTAGCGCAATTAAGCCGATGAGACAAAATAAGAAAAAAAAAAACGCGTATTTCTTGCTGCTATCAAAACAAGCAGCTAAACTAAAGCAAGCGCTATTGAAATTTTTAACATTACATTAAAAATTATTAAAATATTTAATAATCGTTAACGGTTCGCACAACGTAAACGTATACAGTAAAATGCTACACTAAGAGATGTTTTGTCAATATACTTTAATTTACCGTATTCAGTGTCGCACAGTTTTTCCATCAGACCTGTTCTGCGCTTTTGGTTTCGGTGATGACATTGCAGACCAACGAAGGCAGTTACCTTAAAAAACTACCTGACAGGAACATGATCAGGGATGTTGACATAACAGGGATGTATACTGTTGTGCTGTTTTGTCATAACAATTGCTAGTATATACAAAGGAAAAAATACGATGCATTTTTGAGTCAGAGTAACGACCGTTTGTACAGTTCACTGCTATGTCGAGAAGATAGTTCGCCGTGAAAAAAAAAAAGCCTACGAGCCAGAACAATGAAGCTGCGCTTAATCGATCCTAAAATTCTCGCAGTTGAAGCGTATTGTAAATTTTTAAAAACGCGAAACAGAGACTCAGTGAGAAGCAACATTTGATTGAATTTTCTGTCTCTACAGTGGGAGAATTAGCGTACGCTGATGAAGAAAAACATTGAATATTTGTTTGATATTGTTGGGTTTTTAGTATTATTACATAGGGCTAAAAGGGAAGAATACATGTTCCCAGTAGGTTAAAAAATGAGTTTAGAGTTAAACAGAGATAAAGTTTACGGTTAATCTGTTTTTTCCTTAGGGTCTTAAGGCCTATTTCTTGTAAACTCTGGAAATTATTTGTTCATATTTCTCAACCCACTTTTTTTGGCTTCGCATTGGCTACCATAAGCAACAGAGATCTTCTGTATTTACTTTTTCAGACCTATACAATGATCAGTAATATGTTCTATGTTTTCTTCAAAAACCTTTCCTTTGCCCAGAAGTTATGAAATAATTCTAAATATAAAGGGAATGCTGCGTCCCACGGGGCTCACAAACAACAGTACACTCGATTGTAGAATAAAAAAAACACTTCTCTATTTGTATACACAATTAAGTCGTTTATTTATTACAGTTTGATCGGATAATCGTGTTGTATGACCCATTAGTTAATGAGGACAGGGTTAAGTGGTAATGTATATTACAGTCATTTATATATATATATGGTCTTATATACCGAAGCAACACCTCAGTCAAAAACCTTTCCTTAAATATATTTCCTACATAATACCTAGGTATCCTTAGATAAATCATTAGGATACACTTATTTATTTGCTATTTCCAAAACACCGTATGTCGTTCGTGTTACCCGTTGGTCATGACGAGTCCTTCTAATGAATGTTTTCTATTTCCATCATCTGAAAGACTGGCGATATCTGCGATCATCCTAGCGTGTGTGTGGGCTTGCCGGTGATTCCAGGCGCTCATTTTCGTTACTGGCCGTGTAGAAAAAATCTAAAGGCATGACCGATGAGCCTTTCGTGTGACCTGAAATAGTCATTGGGAATTGAATGAAACTCTTAAGTCAGTTGAAATGGTACAACAAAGCCTTGCTGACAAAGCAAAACAGTTTGCTTTTACGCACCCGCTTCACGTTGATTTGTACCAATTAATATTCACTGTACCTTGAGTGGACTACGCGTTTGAGAATAACGAAGCAAAAACACGAAAAGTTTCACATAAAAAAACATGGTATATATATATATATATATATATATATATATAATTTTATGCGGAAATAGCACACGCCGTCATTTGAGCATGACGGCTTGGTGTTCCCCAAACCAAAAGATATTAAGGCAAGCTCATACTTGCAATTCGATGTACCGTCCAATGTTTCCGAGAGCAGCCTGACTAATTATTCAGCAAGAAGATATTATATCCTCCTTTTTTTTATCGTTTCTTGGATACACTGAGTAACACTTGTGTCACCTAAGTTTTTAACTCAACTCATCAAACTGCTCACGGTTTTGTCAAACTGTGACTATTTCATTTGATTCAGCGCTACTATCTATGCCTTTCATGAAGCAGAGGGTTGGCTTTCATCAAGGAACTTTTGTTAACTCGCTGACCAATTTCCGCATTGCCTACTGTTTCTCCATCTTCCATAGTTTATACGATATCCTACCACGTAGAAGAGAGGTGATTCCTTTAGGGGCACGTCAGGTAAGGAAATTTGAGTTAGGTTTCATTGTGAGCAACACGGGGGCCTGGTAGCATTCCCATTCCACCCTTCTTTTAAATCTTACCGATGGGTGCCGAAGGGTGGTAGGATGCCGTCGTCCCAAATCTTCGCCCCTTCCGTCACCAGCTAACATTGGCCCACGAACGTGGCAGCGTCCAAAGGACCAGTATGAAGGCAACGAAGAGACCAAAGTTCTTGTAAGAAGAGGAAAGCTCCTAGGCTTTCTGCTTCCCGCCCGCTCTTGACGAAGAAGCCGAACAGGCGGACGCAGAAAGAAGCATAAGGCTGTAGCAGAGACGAGAGCCCAACGGCCTAGGCCTAAGGGCCTGCTGCTATTGCTGCTGCAATGTCTGCCGCTGCCGTCGTCAAAGGGAGGAAATATGGGCAGATCATTTGGGTGAACACGGAAGAGGCGGTCCTACCCCGTTGCCGGCCTCCAGTCAGGACAAGTAAGAATCCGCCATAGCTCTGTTGGGCATCGCCGCCACTGATGGTAGCCTGGCTAACCGGTGGCGTTTAGGTGCCGACGCGGCCTCCCAGCAGTTCTCGATTGCCCCTCGCTCCGGGATCTCTTTCCTCTGAGCTAGTCCGACCCTACAAACAAACCTGTCTGGAGCTTGAAGAAAAGAAAGGAGGAGCCAGCCTTTTTAGGCAAAGTTATGATCGTTCCCCTTCGAAGCTATTACTACTACCAGGCTTTTGTTCCAGAACACGGAAGCAGACAAGGCGCAATTTGCCGCCACAATAATAAGGCCGACCCAGGCCTTCTTTATATAAATATAGAAATTATAGAAAAAAACAGAAACTCTCACGTATAGCTGATAAGGTATTTATTTAATGTTAAATTTGTACATACGTTATGCTATATACATAAGTTCGAACCTATGACATATGCACATATATCCGTAATATACAAAACGATAATTAGCGGTACAACTACAAAAAGTAACAGAATTTTTTACGTGCCTTTCCTAGTCTTTATCAAAGTGGATGCTCACAAGAAAACCGACGCTTAGCGAAATTTACATGTCGAATACAAATTTAACGTTATTGCTCTAGAATCAGCTAGTAACTGATAGAATAATATTATGATAGAGGTTTTTGACATTTCAATAAAATATAACAGAATCAGTGTGGCCTAGATAAACGGGCTTTGAACTTTGCACGACCTGAAACGGCTTATTTACATGTTACGACATAGCGATAACGGCAGCGATATTTCCCACGCATTGTATTTATCAGACGTAGTGGTGAAATTAGAGAGATAGTCCGAAACGCTGTCAAAAACAGGTGACTTAGCACAATCCTTTAGCGTTAAGTTGTTGCCGATATTCATTAAATCAATCCTCGAGCTTATTGCACAGTTTCGCCAGTCTCCCCACTGCGTTGTTCCGACATCGACCCTGGTAATCATATTCCGAATTCGTAATAACATATTAGTATTAATGGAAATTAGGCCTACGAAGAGACGACAAGTTTGACCAGGTGTGACAGCGTGTTGCCACCGTGCCCCTCATATCGCCTTGATACAAATGAGCTCGAATCTGATACGACCTAAGGATGGAATAAGTTTCGAACTTGATTTAAGGGCACTGTTTCATAGTGGATTTTAAGGATGGTGCTATACTTCGTGAGGAATGAATATGCACACAATCCAATTTGAGTTCAGCTTAACCCGACATCTTGGCTAGAATAGGCAAGATCACACAACGACACCTTATCTCTCTCTACCTGATAAAGTACACTTTTTCGTATATCGGCTCCATCATTCGATACTGTAGAATTAGGACCCGAACGATATAGTGACGATATAGAACGATATAATAAACTTATTACTTGAACTTACTTACACCAAGCCTTAAGTTTACTAACGAGCCATATGCATGTAGCGCTCTGCTTCTATTTTATATTGCTTGATAGCTAAGCATGGCTCGATATAGCATTTCAATTTTACTACACGTTCACAGTGGCAAGCATTGCGCAACAACTCGCCGATATCGCCCAACAAACTCTGTTCGTTTACCATATTCTACTTATTTTGTTCCCCGAAATAGTCATACAGGTTATACTAGCTAGCAAACAAAAACTAAAGGTACTAGTTTAAGACCACTATAAAAAAGACCGTAAAATGACTACGAGCGACCCGTAGTTAAGATCGCTTAAAGTAACCCAAAATTAACCCGAAAATCTTCTATGCTATGCTTTAAGTGCGGTACTTCCATTACACATTGCTTCAGACGGTTGGTTCCCAGCACGAAACACCCAGATTAGAGCCTAGACCACTTTATCCGTATCTACGATAGAAAACAAACACGTTATTCCTTCACCATCACAGGACTGACCTAAAGATAACCTAACCTAGAATATCCACACATGCCATTGGTAACCCGAAGAGACTCTGGGCTGTGCGGCTAGTCTCGTCTACCTGTGCATTTTTCTAAAGATAACCGCATTCATATCAGGCGAATAGTGTGTTGACTGAGCCTGAAGGTTTTTATTAGGACGGTGCGAGTGTGCCAATTCTGTACCTCCTGCCGAAGTCAACGGACCTCCCCCTGCTGCTACCAAATGATGATCTGGATGTTGCTGCATATGGCCACTGGTCGCTCCCGGATGATCGTCGACGTGCGCGGTGATCGCAGACCAACTTCCACTTCCAAGTTGCTGTTGCTGGTGAAATTGTTGTTGCTGATGAAGGTGTTGTTGTTCGTGCCGTTTTGTGGCAGTGTCGGCCAGAGACCAGATTTTGCCGGCTCGCGGTTTTGGCGAATGTGAAGATTGCGATAACGAAGAGTTATCGCTATGCGAAGGATTGGCGTCAGGACAGTCGATTGGGCCTTCGGGCCCGCTTCCAGGATGCGGCGGCAGATGTACCGGAAGGTGCGGACCCGGGAGGCATGGCGGCCCACTCGTTAAATACGACGGAGGATCATCCCCACCGACGGAAAAATGCGGTGGCGAGAGGCACGATGCTGCAGTAGCAGTTGACTGGGGAACAACGACAGGACTTTCTACCACTGCAATCAAATTAAATATGTGGATAAATTGGTACACAGACCTAGATACAATACATTTTCATGTGCGAAAGGTATTGTTACACAAAGCACGTTGCGTTAGTTTTTGAAAAAACAGTTTATCTCTATTTTGCAAATACCGATATGAACGTCCGAAGCTGCTTTTAGTTACGTCTCCAGTAGGGGTTACCAATTTCTATATAAGAAGTTGCTTTGTATCATTGTGTCCATTATTACAGCAGAAAGTTGTTGAAGACACTGAAAAATATCGCTACTGCTTGTAGTAAGAGATTACCCTCAAGCTAACAAGTGAGCGCATCTTCCGAAGTGAGGGATTATGTTATAATAATTCAATTGAAAAATCGCGTCCGCTTTTTCAGTCAAAAAAAGATTATCTATTACACCTTGCAATAGAAATCTAACTTTTAGTTTACGATCTCTTAAAATGCTATTGTTCTCGGAAATGCATTAAACCAAGAAACAGGTCAATATTTTTTTGGTTTAATGTTGAAACGTTACCTACCAGTTGCATGATGCTGAAATCCTTCAGGCTGCTGCGGGTCTTCACTAAGCTCCCCGTCAAAGTCGCATTTATTTCTTGGCTCCCAGGTCATCTTGTTCTCTTTTTTAAGCCGTCGACGTGCGTTAGCAAACCAGGTCGACACCTAAATTAGTCAAGAAATATAAAAATTGCATGACTGATGGAATCGTTGGTTTCTACATCAATCATCTCTATATGTTATATTAGCAATCGCGTCGCTGCCATTAGGTAGTAGTGCTCTTGGTTCCTTATCACAATATCAATATATATATATATATATAAAGCTTGAATGTGGCATAACAACTTTAACGGCGTAACAATTTTGATGATATGCCACTTTTATTTACTTTATTGATTCGAATAGGCGCCTATAATAACGCCTGTTTCCTTAACTATCGTACGGTGCTTTTAATAACCCTTTCTTTCCTTCTTATATCAGTCCCGGCTGTGGCAGAAGCAGTCGAGAGCAGAACGGCGCGCCAGCAAATCATGCTTCCGCAACAAGATATAGACGAGTTAGGAGAATTTAGTGCCTTAAGACTCTGTTTATCCAAACCACCTAAAACACTTGATTGATTTCGACGCTGGCTTTTCTCGCGTAAACCAAAAAGCTAAGGACTACTTAGTACGACACGAATAAACGCATATCTTTCGGCCTTGCATCGTAGATTTTCATCGTAGATGGGCGGTCTGAATATGGCGAAACGGGCGATACTGAAACGATGTTGAAGCAAACCCCATCAGATGAACATCGTATTATCCTTCAGGCTGTCTAATCGCTGTGCGGAAGTAAAAGCGGCACACTTTTCGGTCAGTCCTCCGCTAACTGAACATCCACAATGATTGACATAATTTTCAACTCGAGCTTTATTTCGCAATCTTGATCCGCTATGCTAAATAAATAGTCGGTACTTCTCGATTCGTACCACCTTGTTGAGCCATTTGCTTTCTCAAACAGTCGGTAAACTCATGGGCCAAATACGGATACTTTATTCAAATACCCAATAAAAGTATTGAATGTGTTTGAAATCTGGATTACAATACCGGTGCAATGTTGCCAAAACAAGCCGCGACCTAGGAAATTCTCGGTAATTTTACCAGATGTGAGAGAACAGACAAATTTTTATTTTCTTAAGTGGTACGTTACATGAGATTAGGTCATTCTCTTACCTGCGTAAGGGTCATCTTCGTGATAATAGCTAGCATGATCTTTTCTCCTTTCGAAGGATAAGGATTCTTTTTATGTTCGTTGAGCCACGCCTTCAAAGTTGACGTTGAATCACGGGTTACGTTTTTGCGTCGGGTCGCTTGAAGTTCAAATCCTGCCCCCGCAGGGGAGTACCTACCATATTAATCATAGATTAATAAACATCAGTAAAAGCACACTAATAAGCTTAACTTACTTGGATTACTAAAGCTATCTCTCATTCTGGAATCCAGCTCTAAAAATAGACTTTGGAGAGAGCCCTAGCAGGGTTCCGGAGAACAGTCTGTTAACGCTACATTTAAGATAAAGCTTTTATGTTCCGAGTTTTATGCCCGGCATCGCAGCCGTTAGCCATTCCAACAGGCAGCTGGCTTCCAGCGGAAAACGAACGCTCGAAGAAATTATATCTGCGATTCCAGAGCTCAACGAGATCTTATACGAGAAATGTCGAATGTCACTCTGCGGGTATTATTTGTAGCCTACGCCTACTGCCTCTTCCTCGTTGCACACAAGCACCACTGAGACCACAAAGCGGTTTTCTAAAATGCGAAGAACTATATAAAAAAACTGGAGTACACCAAGCTAGACAGTCTTTCACATACCACTTTCAGCTTCTGCACTTAAAATCGACATTTTTTCCCAAAAGCTTAAGTACTGAATCGAAAAACAGCGGGAGATCGAGAGCGCCGAGTAGGCCCGACAGAGGCTAACCTAAGGCTCGAGATAGACAATCGACGAAATATGAACACAAGTGCGAAGCCATACGATGCCGAGAAAAGTGGCAGGCCAACAATGTCTAGCTACGATGAAGTCAAATGGTATTGCGTCAAAGATCTATTCACTTATAGAACTAGATGTCCCTTGAATGCATATATATATATATACATAGTGGATTGTAGGAATGTATAAACAATGAAGGTCATCCGTTCAAACATTTACGTCGTGTAACGTAAATTGTGTTATTCTTATTATCACATGCGCCATTAGTATAGCTAGTGCACTTTAGATATATACTGACAATTAAGACATTGTAATGTAGTATCATAAGGATATAGAAATGGTAATAGCATGCCTCGGTTAAAAACGCATCGCATTAATTTGCGTACATTCTGCCCAAGTAACAACTACCAAAAGGCTCTTATTTTACCCGATACAATTACGCTGATATGACTACTACACCCATATCGATCGACTGCGTTTACCCTGTTCGCAAACTTTTCCAGAAGCTATTCATTCACTAATCACTAACACCAGCAAGAATACGTGTAGCACAAGCGGATTAGCGAATTAAATTCTAAAATTGTTTAAATTTCAGCAGTACGCAATAATTATTAGAGATCTCGTTGAAAACCCGTTACTACAAGTTCTCAAAATGAAATTGCTTGTGTCCGGTGGCTGTTCAATCTATTGGAAGCGAGAAGATTTTTTTGATGCTAGCCACAAAAACCTTTCATATATACTTAGAAAATAAGCGGCTGAAGAGCCACTTGTCGTCTAGTGTCAGACGCGTCCACAATACCCCATACAGAAGGATATAATTGTGAAGTTTAAGCTTGTAGACGCCGTACGACAAGCAGCCGACATCGCAGTATAAATAAAAATACAACTTTCGCATATACTGGAGGCGATTAAGCAATCGAGAATGTATGCAGAGGAAATCAAGCCACGATCCCTAGAAATCCTGAAGCTGGCTGAGGAAGTTCTTAAGCCCCATTCACAGAATACAGTGGAGACTCACAATCGTTCAGAAGAAGACAACTAGCTGTGCTAACGATATCTATCGGTTTTTCGCAGCTTTTAACAGCGGAAAATTTCGCTTCGAAAACCCCGCTCCACGTTCGACCCGTTTACCATGGTCACTATAGGAACGACAAACTAAACAAAAATCCGTGCGAAAATAACGGGGTACTTTTCCTACTACAAATAATGTCCTGCAACACGTAAGTAACAAGACGTCAAAAAAGAAAGGTGCCCCCTGTGGAAGGTACTTATACAGAAAATCTGCCAAGTGGATCTATAAGTATCCAAACCAAATTAAACACAACCGATTTGATGATTGTCGTTAAAACAGCTTCGCTTACTATACGGGGCCGAACTACAATAGTTGGACTGTGGCCTCACGAGGCCTAAGCTAGCCTAGTACTTTTAAAAAATTGATGTAATTGAGGCCCTTAAGCGAAACAGGTCGGCTTACAGACAATACAGAAGTAGAAAAGTCGATAGCTTTTATATGCAAAAAATAATGACTAGTAAATTTTACAATCAAGGCATCACATTGAATACGCTTCCGCATGAATGAAACGTTCTACAGACTTTGACATTTTTATCAAATTCAGTTTTTTCGGAATGATTACGTATTTACCGTACTGAATACCGTAATTGAAGCCGACCTTTAAAATTTATCATGCAACCTTTGACAGATTGAATTGATTTGTGATCGTAGATGTCGCATTTCCTTATGGTCGTCTTCGTCTTATCTAGCAGCTGTAAATAAATTTAATTATATGAAGCATGTTGAATGAAGCGGGACCATTTTTTCTTGTGATCCGCGCAAGTATTTACTTCTGGGGACTGAATATCTTAGCTTCGAAGATAGTAAGTGGCTCTTCAGGCCGTCGTTTCCCGGGCTTCGATGATAATTTGTTTGCTAAATTCACGACGCCTGCCTCAAAACATGAAGCAGGTTTAGAGCTAGATGTCGCCGTAAGTCGTTGCTCTAAAACCGCATAGTGAGATTTTCAGATTTAAGAATATAAGTCAGAACTGGTTTATGCTTTAATCGAAAATAAATACGGGTCGTCGTTTCGATTCAACAAAAAACTCTGTATGGAAATAGTGTGATCTGTTTTTAACAGAACGGAACAGCGGTGCACTGCACCTTAATCGTACGTTTTTCTAACAATGACGAGTCGATCTATAGGTGGAGATATAGGTCGACGAGGCTCAATAGGATGACCCTGGTATTAACCACCGTTTACGAAAATGGGAAAATTCAGGTCCTTTTATAGGACGACGGCGTCCGTCGCAAATTCATGTGACAAGATCAGCAGGAACAAGAAACTATACACGAATTTATCACTTAAGTGTTGCGAGCAGGTTACAACAATGCGTAGGAAATGATGGCAACTTTATTCTCGTTATATATAGATCTATATATATATATATATATATATATATATTTTTTTTTTTTTTTTTTTTTTCGATAATGAGAGAGAGATTTCCAGATGTAGGAAAATATCGAGAAGTTACCTGTGTACATTCGAAGTACAAGCAATACTTTGTCTATGCTGCAATGTGCTATATTAGACAAAGAAATCCATTACATTATTTTCAACTGGAGATATCTCCTCTTGGTTCTTGGAAAGCCACATGAAGGAGTGGCATTATGCCCCTCAAACATCGCGCAAGACAAATATCGCTCAGCCGCTATTAACTCGTAGAACGTCATATGACACAGCTGATAGAGTGACGGACGCAGATTGCGGCACTATATCCTACGTATGGAAAAATGTCCGCTTCGGTCTGAAACGCGTTAGAGAGCATCCTATTTGATTGCAGAATCTCTCAAGTAAACGTGAATGCTACGTTTTTACAAATATATAAGCCCAACATTTAAATAAATTGATAATAAATGTCAATGTCTAGTACTCTCGTTATAAAACCATTAAGAATAGGTATTTAAGTAATATCACCTAACTCGATTCAAGCCGAAAAACTGCCGCAATCCATAATTAGTCTTTAGCTCAAATTGTAGCAAGGAACGAGATTTGGCCTGTCGGACAAGTCAGCATTGACAATTGGAAAAGTTTGCAGAATGAATCAAATTTAATACTGGCCTATTTTCACAGAAATTTAAATTTCGCGGGCGAGTTTAACTTACTTGTGACAGTATCTGATAAATGCGCTAAACGATTCTAGAGGGAAAGTCTGTCATGTTGACTAAATTTTTAGCCTTAAAGAGAGTTGTTTATAAATTGAACCTGTGTTTCACTTTCGATTCAGCCAGTTTACCCAGCGACTACGCAAATTCGTTGGTGCATCTACCAGAGCCTATTACACATAGGAGAAGTATGTTAACCGCACTCTAGCTTTGAAGACCTCATAACGATCATTTTGCCTTACATTCAACGATCTGTTGATTAACTGTAATGTAACTAATAGAAAATGTACTTACAATTTTATGCAACGAAATCCCAGCAGCTATTATATTGCAAATATTATATGTAGTAGCAAAATATTGACAAATTATAATAATAATAACCTATATTTGCCGACTTGCCAAAAAACTAAAGTAACTAACCTTGAAAGTAGAGATTTTTAGCCTATTAGCACTATCTATATGTATAGACAACAAAATTTGTAACCTCACACAACCAACGCGTCCAATACACAATAGCTCGTAACAATTAACTCGTAGGTAAATACAGATGCGACTTGAAATTGAAAATTTACAACAAATAAAATGGCCGTTGAAAACTATTCCGACGTTTCCACCCAAGACAATGCCACACCCATTCATATGTCACTAATCTCGTTTAGTTGGTAGCCAGCGAAAATCGGAGTACTATTGTCCACTATCAAAAACATGTAATCCTGCCAGTAGACTCACCCGGCAGGCGATCAGACACGGTTGTCTGTTTAAAATCGATCGGACTCACTGATGCGATGCCAATCGGGCGAACCGACCGCATCGGCTAGTGGGATTCGGGATGGCCTTTAGGAAGGACACGGGACAAAGTGCGCCTAGCGTTTAAGGTGTTGTAGTATAGCATAGTACTGGCTGGTTGATTGAAGGATGTCTGTCGCAGAGCTAGCCTTGTCACGAGCACACGTCGCTTCTCCTCGACGTACTCCCCCCGTCATTTGATTCATGTTAAGAAGAAGAAGTTATGTTATAACTTCTATGGTAACTATGACTTCCCGTGCGATCGACGTACTCCACCGTCGCCTACAGCTGGACGCTGGTCGAATGTTTTGTGCCCTTTAAGACGATTTTTTAAAAAAAATTCTCTCGTATTTTCCTATGACCTGATGCTTGCACTCGTAATTCTAGCCTAATTTAGGCCATTTTCAGGCTTACACTCGTAATAAAGATTCGCGTAAATTAGGTTAGTGCCGGCCAAAGACTATCGATTACCGGTCACGCAGTGATAAATTTTGACTGAATGAATGTCGACTTAGCATTGAATATCAGTCACGTAAAACATGCGGCATACACGGTCAGCAGCAGTGAAAACAAATTCTCGGAACTGTAAGTGTGCATTATTTAGACCGATATAATAACAACAAAACAATTCCCAAACAGGCTTACTCGCGTCGACATTTGCCTGAAATGATACGGCCTTTATAGGCCACCTCTGCGGCCACTTCCCTTTATTCCACTCCATACGAGCTACAGTGAAACGTTGCCTGCTGCTCCGTTCTCTTGATGAAGCTGGCGTTACGCGCATGAGTTAAAGTAGCTATCAGCAAACCGCGACAAATCAATATGCCCATCAATCGCGAAGCGTCTGCTCACATTGCCACTAACGGCCGCTATACAGCTGAACTGCCACACGGAACTGTCAATCTTTTTTCCAAAGTTCCAAATAATAAACAGTTGGCAAAAAGAGGACGAGATAAAAAAAAAAGCAGAAAACTATTCTATGTGCGCGTCCAGAACTTCAATTTTGCCTAATTGGCTAGGCTCACACTGTTAACTTTTAATCTGTTGAATAACTAGCCAATATATATTCTTGTATTACATACAATGTCCAATTCAATTGTGCAAAAGCAGAGATTCCAGATAGTTGCTTGGCAACAGGCAACGAAGAAGCATAGACAAACTTCATTTTATCCCTAGCCTTTAACGTACCACAGCCATTGTTCAGCATTTGTGAGCAGAAAAATAAACTACTGTTTAAAAGCTGAATTGCGTAGACCATCGGATTCGCTGCTTACAAAATGCCGTTGCGCATGCCCGCAGAGAAGTAAAGCACTTCAAATGTTTGAAACCGAATTTGCGGCGGGTCTCATTGCGTCTACGTTACGTGCTTCCGCTCCTCAGTGATTCGTATGAAAGAATTATGACTTGAAATACATTATAGCAGGCTTGAGCGCCGAAAAAAATAGCATGCCTAGACTATACAGCCGGTTTTATCGCGTATGGATCAATGCTGAGCTGTTCGTCTAACTAGCTGACACCGCCGTCTTTGGCTTCCCTGATACGGATGCTTAACGATAGATGAAAAAGAGCATTTTGTCCGAATGTCATCGAACGACTGAATGAGTTAACGGAGCTCGTCGGCATCCCTGACACGCACCACTTCATTCAGTCCCCAACAACAACAACAGTTCTAAGGACCACAACAATACTCCTAGTCCAGCGAATTCACCTTTGTCCGCGCGTGTCCTGATCTAGCTACCGACAGGCCGAACGGCTGAATAGAAGCAGATGCGAGTGGCTTTGTAACTGGATGGCTGGTGGTCAACCCGAACTGCGGAGATGGTGTGTCCTGCATCACCCGGCTATCGTGCACGTGCCACCAACGGAGAAGTGGCCATTCTCGTCGACTCGAAAAGATCGAACTAGGAACATCTGCGATGGGTGGACAACGCTAGCAGAGTTAAGCCAAGCAAACCGCACAGCCAAAGCACTAGTGACCCCTAGCTCCCCCGAGTAGATCTCTAACAATTGGCACTCACTCTTTCAACATCTACGTAGTCAACTACTTACGCATTTTAGGAACGACGAAACAACATCAGCGAATATATCGGGCCAAAATAGATCTAGAGACCGAATGCCAATGTACACCGCAACTCTTCAAACATTCTAGCTTTAATCTCTGTGTGTGAAATATGCGTGACTTGTTCAGATAAACCCTTTACGAGTTAAAAACAAGTCACTACATAACCCACAATAAGAGGCGGGGGCCGTAGCGTGTTGATGACAATGGCAAAAATATCAACACGAATGTACATCATCAACCAGGATTGCGTGTATGTGCACGTGCGTGCGTGCGTGCTGTAGGAAAACTGGCCGTCCTCATCATCGTCCTTATGTCATACGAAAATTACTTGTCATAACATATAGGGGGCTGTCATACAGAAGTGCTTCAATAATATAATAGAGCCTCACTATAGATGCTTTAAATAAATGAAGTAATTAGTAGTTGGCTATTCAATTGAGCAGTAGATTTTTAATGCCTTTTTATGCGTTCTCTGATGGGCGTCCTATACAGTATGCTCACAAAGTTGCATAAACTGCTCCGAAATAGGCTAATTGCTGCCTATTCAGTGAGACAGATGCAAGGAAGGCGGGATCGGGCCAAATAATGAGTCTGCAATACATTTCCTGTTACGCGCCTCGATTATGCTTGACAGTTTTACGCTGGGAAACTAACTTGTTATCGTTCAGTGGCCTTTTCTACATAGATTAAACAAACCACTAAATACTATAGATAGCTATATGGTTCGAAGAATTGGGTACTTAATCGAACAATACGGGGCTCCGCGTGTGTGTCTACGTCTCATCCCTATCTCCGCTAAAGTTCTAGCATCACTGTGCTTTACCAAGCGATCCAGCTATAATTTGAAAGCAAAACTCCCAAACACCACGTAGATGTTACTGTTTATTCTTTGATCGGTGCAAGGTTCCATCCATCTAAATCTGAAACATAATAATGACCATACGAAATTATATGAATGCGTTGTTGGACGGCTGACGAGACAAGAAGACTATTGTTATTATTGGGAAATAATTAGATACCACAACTAGTTGTCGCCCATTCCTCCGGGGATCTTTCGTAGGTGGTGGTGGTGGTGGGGGGGGGGGGTTACGACTCTTGAAAGTTAGAAGTGATATTCACCCGTATGTAAAGGTAGCGTCGTAGTAGGGCTGTGCAGGCGAAAGGCCCCGCCATGGATCGCTGTCCTTGATGTATGAACTGGTCGTGCTTGCCTGCAAGACATTTCAATAACACATTAATATGAGCTCTCGTGCAAAGTCAACCGGACTCCAGTTCAGAATTATATATGCTAAGTATAAACGAAAACTCAATGCTAAATTATCAATTAAACAACGCTAGCATCAGCGGTACTAATAGTAAGCGGATTGTCTTCCTCTCATTTGGCAAATACGATTATAACGGATCCTCCATTAGTAAAAAAAAATGCCCCAAATCACTCGTCAGCTGGATACCCCCAAAAACATTACAACTAGCTAATTCGTTGCCACAATATCAAACAACTAACACCACTTTTGTATTTGTGCTGAACTAGAAGCAATTATTGATAAATATCATGATCCAGGATAGTCCCGCGTTACGAAAATCACGCAATAGTTAGCATTGCTATAGAAGCACCAGCTTTCGCCTCCAAACGCACCGATTCTGTCCGAGAGACAGGGAGAAGGTAATGGAACGAGCGAGTTAGGACAAAGCAACGGTATTAATCAAAATTAAAACTAACACTAAGAGAGAGCGAGAGAGAGCCCGACTCAATAAGGCTGAGGAATTAAGGGTAAGAAAATGGGTGAATGATCGAGCGCAAGCCATCGTCATTTGACGGGGGTAACCGAGGAGCATTACAGGAGGGCCACTAGCTTAGGATTAGATTCCGGAGCAGGAGACGAAGCAATAGCAGCAGATGGTTGCATCGCGAGGAGCCCCCGTCGAGAGAGAAATCGTCAGAAGAGCTCAGTCCGTTGCCAACGAGACCAATGCGACACTAGCTCAAGGGCGAGCAGCTGTCAAAGCCAAGTGACTGTCGTTCCTTAGCGAAGGCACCGGCGCGAGCGGCCACAGAATCGAGGCAGACGAAGCCAGCGCTCAGAATATTAAGGAGACCGTATAGTCAAATCGGGTATCAGGCCAGCTCCGCCATAGCTCAAGTAAGGCCGGTCGGAACCGTACCCGCGCCCGCCACAGAGCCTAGGGAAAATTGGAGCTCGCCCACTCCAAGACGGCCAGACTTGGACGGACGACGGAAGATTTGGAGCAGTTGGAGATTTGCTTCCAACTCAGTGGGAAGTGTGCGAAGTTCGGACCGCGAATAGAATCAATGCAATTGCTATGCGATGCTATATGTGCGTTTCGTTGTGATGGCAACTTAACGTCGCTAGGTATGGTGCGTGTTTGAGTGAAGCGGACAAATCGAGCGAGTCCAATCTCACATGCAGAGTCAGTCTGGTTATGGCTGTGGCAGTACATCGATGATCAAACGCAAGATAAAAAGACAATCAGTGGTAGACCTTCGACGTTCATGGGCGTCCATAACCTACTGCGATATCCTCAAAGCTCAACCTCCTGTTCAGACTGACAGGGAGAGGGGGGCGGGGGGTGGTACCTATGGGCGGCATGTAATGAGATGTGCACTGAAGACAGTGGTGCTTGAGTCGCTGATATGTTGGAGTACTGTCAAGTGATAGGTGTGTACGAGCGAGTTTTCGGCCGTGAGTCGAAATCGGCGTAATAGGTTAACCCATACTGTGGTTAAATTGGATGCACCACTCCTGGATACCAGCACCAAATATAGCATTTGTTAGGATTTTCCTAGCCTTGTCGGGACGCAGTTTTGAATAGGTCACGAGCGAAAAGCAGCTCATTTATCAGGCCACTTATTTTATCGCTTGTATTTTGGCATTTTTCTCTCGATATATTGAAAACATTCTTGCGCTAGTACAGGGTAAATCAAAAATAAAAGTGCAATTTTGCTTAGTGTAGGTCAGGAACAAAAAGGCAGCGCTTCATTTTTAAGGCTCTTCTTTGTTTATAATTGTGAAGCTACTGGCTTTTTAGGTGTAAACTTGAGTCGTAAACTACTACGAAGAGCCTACTATGAACTCGTAAAACCTGCATGATATCAAAGTTCAAGCTATCCAAATATCTACGCCGTCAGCGGCTTGCACTATTCGCGCAACAGAATACTTTACTAGATTATTGATCGTCATTAGATCAACTAATCACAATCGCTCTCATCACTGATCCTACTTCAACTTCTGAAACTTATCGCCAATCAGGACCTGATTTAGCCTCTCCTTCATGAATACCCGTCACTTGACTTTAATGTTGACTTGATTGGCTCCAATTTGCGCAGCAGGATTCTAAACGAATAGACTGATTTATTATCTTGTAGGAGTCATCCGCGAGCATTGCCATTGGAAACGCGAGTAAACTTTGTGGCACACATTCGGACAATGGATGTGGGAACGGTCCCTGGGACGTCGAGCTCTAAAGGCACATCGTTAATTTGTCCTGCAGAGTATTTACAGTGACCCCCACTGTATGATTGGGCCATTATACTAACCCTGCGCCTATTCTATAATGCGTTGCACGACTGTTAATGGCACAGGTTGTAATTCATAGAATTGTTCACAAGAAAAAAATACTCCACAAAACGATGCCGCAAGCAAAAAGTGTCAACAAAAAAATGCGCAACAAAAGTTTCTGGGATGTCCTGCGGGCTTAAGTCCCGTCACTCACCCTGGCTGGGTTAATCCCAATGTGATCGCACAAGGCAATCCATGTATTTCGCTTCATCAAACACTGAACACCCTCAGGCTAGTCCCCACATGTGCTTGGCAAACAAGCTCTTCACACTAAACGAACCATCTATTAACTAACTAACGAAATCACGATTAATTGTCGTAAATCAACTACATCGATGCTTCAATTCTAATCATTTCTAATTTACAACATTAATTGTCCTCGTTAAGTTAAACTTATAGACGCTACTAAGAGATTTATATTGTCATATATGAAACGGAATTCAACCCTGTCGATGTCTCATATTAAGGTCTATGCACCGACGTTACAGGTTCAAAGGTAGTCGGGTGATGACAACAGAACCCTTGATGGAGATTCTTGCATAAACTTGTATAACATGTGTAAATCTGTGTTATGGCAAATATTATCCATACATAAAGCACAAATTCCAACTTTCTAGTCGCTCATACATCCGAGAAGACTGTGTGAAGAAGCATAGAATGTGGACCGTTTGCCTCTCTCCTACTTAGCTAACAAAAAGATGTTTAAGGACCTTTATCCCATCAAACCCATCCATACCCATAAATACGATTTAGTTATCTGCCGTAATCAAGCGAGCGGCACCTGTCTTTGTTCCAGTTAGCTCTACGTGCCCACCGCATATATTGCGCCATTGAAAACCCGAACAGTTCAATAATCGTAAACACCCTTCCGCACAGATTCCGCGCTTTGGACGAATACAAATATCCGTCCAGTACCTTAGGCCACCTTCTTGTTTACATATTTTCCCTCCCTATAGAAGATCTATGACAACTGCTCGTGGTCGCCGTTTGTTAAAGTCGTCGGTTTAGATACATCAAGGCATCATTGTGCTCCACTAGCATGACTATGGTCGTACATCGCCTGCTAGCTATACACTTATGTCCTGTTCCCTGCATGGCTAGCCAGCTCCTGTGGTCCCTGTTAGTGACACCGTGACAATGGACCCACAAGCGGGTAGAAAGACGGGTGAGTATCCTCTATCGCCGTACCGCCCCCGCCAAGTTGCCTGCTCCTGCTGCTGTGAGCGGTAAACAGAGCAGCGGTAGTCTTTAGTGGGGGGGCGAAAACGCGAGTTCAAGCCCGGAGATCCAGATCGCGCGCTTGAAGCGCCGGTATTTCGCTCCGACGACGATGAGCGGAGTATACGAAAAACTTCATTCGAGCGGCAGTGGCGGCAGGAGGAGTTTTAGGAGCTGTGCGAAGTAACAGCAGGAGCGAGGCAAGCATGCGCTACTTAATGAATAGCGCATGCTTGACTGCCTCGATGAATGAACTGGTGTGAACGGACAAACATGGTAGAGTTGTTAGTTAAAGAAGCCTATGCGTGGATGTGTATGTCTGTGTCTGGCCATGCATATGGGTGCGCCCCGATGTTGTCGGCCTTGCTGTTATTGTTGCTATTGCTACTTCTATTGTGGACGACTCGATATGTTTATCGCATGAGTTGATTAGGTGGAATAGCCCAAAGACGAAAGAATAGAGCGCGCGCGATGAGAACAACAGCGGCGGCTGTCTGCAGCGTGAGCGGATATAGGCAAAACCAGAAAAGGTGGTTGCACTTAGGAAAATTCTTGCCAGTGAAAAACAACAACAACAACAACAACAGCAGCAGCAGCAGCAGCAGCAGCAGTGGCAGCGGCAGCTGCCGCCGAGGTACTAACTATGGGCCAGCTGCTGTAGGCCCAGCTCGCGCTACTGTTTAATGGGTGGCGTCAAATCCAAGGAGTTTGTATAAAGCTTCTTCAGATGACGAAAGTGTTAGCAATGAGTGAACACTAGAAGGTGGAAAAAGACGATTCATTCCACTGAAGAGTATTAACCTGTGCTAATCGTGGCATCAATGCAGAAGCTCTTTCAATGTAGCTGTTCGAAATGATCAATTGCTTTCGAAAAGTCAGCCTCAAGCGAACAGTGTTTGCGTACAGCGTTCTTTGGGGAATGGGGCAGCCCGATATTCCCTAGTCGCGTGATGGGGTGCGCGAGTGCCTGTATTTATTCGGCAGTGTTCTATAGCATCTTGTGACATTTCACTACTGCGTATGTTTGGATACTACTGAGCGTACATTCGCATCAGCAGTTTTAGCTGTTTCTCACGTATAAACTGTAATCCTTTTTTTGGCGAAGACAGGACAAATACAATTGGTCTCCTAACATTCGATCCATAGAGAGCCGCATGTACTGTCGTAGCTCCCTTACCATATCGCTACATACGAACAGACCCGTTTCCACCAGGGGTATTTTCGATTATAATTTATATATGTCTGTGTGTCTCTAAAGCAGAGCTGAACGTTATTCGTACGTTGTTCTTCTGTTGAATGACTTTTCTATTCTTTTATAACACGAGCCACCGTTTTCTTACGGGAACCTCGAACGCCGATTTGCTAAGCAGGCCGTCTTCGTTTCTGTCGCGTTCGATGCTTTTTCTGATAGTGAACCAACAGGCCACGGTACAAGACGTTGTTCCTCAATGACGTTAGACTGATTGACTGGCGGACTGATTGATTAAGCTGTTACCGCGTGCTGCGATCAGTATCGTCTCGTTTGCAGTGGGGACGAACATTACTGATTCGTTTAGTGAACACGTACTCTATTAGACAACCATCATACATTCTGTATGATGAATATAGTTGCTTGTATGTTTCATGTCTTAATGATCCTCGTGCTAACTCTTGCTAACAGGCGCGGACTTGGGTTTACTTACGCAAGTTATTATTAATAGTAAGTAAATAGTTGAGCCTTGTTCTCGACTAGTGCACCATTTTCTTGCTATCGACTTAGGCGATTCTAACGAACAACGACCGTGTAAGAAATAAGCTGCGATCACTCGTCTATCAACAATATCACAAAGCCATCCTTAGTTTATTCGAAAAAACACACGGCCCAATCTTTAATTTAGAAGAATGTTTATAGCGGAATGGCCGCTAACATGTAAACAGACTTGATCGATCAACATTCTACACTATTCCTTTTATCATATATGCTAGACATAATATGCAGTAAAATGCCATTCCGACAGCGTTCTTCTTTTTCTATGTAGTAAATCTTTTTATCTATGTAGTGATATCTTTATTAATTAACACTAAATAATAAGTCTTCGCTGCCCAACTTCATGCTTCCGCTTCTATAGCATCGTGACAAGATTATTTTTTAAAATTTAACGTTTGTTTTTCTAATTAGATAAAAAACCATTCTAGCTCATTTCACAGCTTCGTTGCACCACAGTAGTTTAGAAAGGTCACTCTATCTCGAGCAAGAAGCTGCGCGATAGATTGGGCAATATATTTGCTCGTTGAAATTCGCATGGAAATATCTGTCGTCGGTGGCTGAAATAAGCGTATGTTTTCTTTGTGTGTATGAAATGAATAAAAAAAAACACCTAATTTAATAGCCACTAACTGACTGACGAATCAATCGATTCGTGAAGCTGTGAACAGGTGATAATGGCTGCAGCTGCTACCTATGCGCTCAGCGTCCTATCCAAAAACATCCTGTTTATTTTAGGCAATTTTGTTTATTTAACCGTGTTTTTCCTATGATAGACCAACAATTAGTTCGTCGTTCTCCCTTTGCGCTACAGTTACTTCCTCAGATCGTTCTATGATTAATAAATTTATAGATCTGAAAAACCATTTCACAACTACAGCGATAGGCTCGGTCACTAATCGGTGATAACATTATCTTATCAAACTGTTCAGCTTCGCTGCAAATAACACAATTGTTCTGCGTTGTATTCCCATTGCAACTGATTTGTTAGCGCATTGATTTCGACTTTAACGAAGTTAATTCGACGAAATCAAGAAGCCAAGTTCAAACTGACTTGGAGCGTAGATCTACTAACTGAAATACAAGCTTATATACCTGTCATACCATGCCACATACCTATCATAACTAGCATCATCCCGTTACCCCGTTGATTAAGCAAACTCGTCTTGCTTTCCCATTAATTTAGCTTTTAGCACTTACCTATACATCCGCTAAATTGCTTAACAAGTGCATTTTTAATCCTACCTTTCGCCTACCTGACCAAGCGTCAAGAGTAGGCGAGTCTTTCGAACATTGGCAAAAAAGTTCGAAAAAAATGATAACAACCCGCTATTGTTAATCAAAATTAGCAAGAACTCTCACTTAAAACAATTTTAATTAATTAAACAATCGCTCAAATCAAAGGCACAACGATTTAAATAAGAAACCTCGCCAGAGCTAAGCGATTGTGTTAATCTACAAAGACCGATCGAGACATATAAGTAGGCGCATATATATAAAGCAGGGGTGCAATAGCACACGTCTATTTTATAGGATCGAGCGTAAACTAACAGCTTTACTAGACAGTGCCAAAATGGCCACATGACAATGGATCCATTGAAGAGAATGTCGTGCTAAGTCATCCTTCCTAATGTTTGTCCGTTATAAATATCACCGGCTTTCATTTGGAACTACCGTTCAGATTCAACAAACGATCATCTCTTAGCGTCTCCTAGCGGACCATCTAATTTGCTAATTATAAAGTATCTACTAAATGGTTACGGATAGAATGATTAGCGTTTACGAAGCGAACTCGACAAAAAAGGCACAGATCACAATTTCAGCTGTGCAAAGTTCGACGTCAGGGCACGTACGACGACGACGACGACGACGCACAGACACGCACGAGGAACGAAGAAAACGTTCGGCGTTCATAAACCAAATAAATAAAAACTAATAGAAAAAGGGTTTCTTGGAACATTCGATTAATTTTCTATTTTGGCGGCGCGTCGGCTTTGAACGGCTGAGCGGCACTACTTTTTAATGTTTCTTACCAGTCCAAGAGAAGGATTGCGTACAACCGAAGAAAATTAGCTCAGACTGTCATTGGTGCGGGCGTTCACCGGCTCCAAATCGATTCATTTCAACACAGTAATGTGGCCATATTGAAAGAAACAGATGTAGGAAACTGTCACACAGAACGAGCTCCCCAAGACGGATTGCTGTGAAAAGGCACAACGTCAACCGGTGAGGCTACGACAAATTCAAATGGACTGAAATGTTTTCTGGCACTCTAATTGAAACAGGGGGCTGTTATCAAACCATGACGCCGACTAAGCAGAAGGCTAAACGTGAACTAACAGTAGAACGGTTTCAAACTATAGGGAACATCTCCATAATTATTCCAGAAATCAATTGAGTCACATAAGATACGACTACGCGTGACCGATGCAAAAACCTATTCCCAATAGCTTCGGCAGCGACACAATAAGCGGGAACACTGACACTCGAAAAATCAAGCAAAAGCTAGATATATTACGTTTATGTATAATACACCTTACACTGTAGCCAAAAGATATGCCCAGTATTTTTAGAACAAGATGACGCATCCATTCATGCTTTCCGTGGTGACTTTTCCAAAGAGCTATGGACACTTCGTATGCCGCATAGACTTCATTTATGCATTCTACCGACTAACACCTACCGATAGATAGGTGTGGGTATATGTAAATGTGGAAACATCCAAAGTTCTCAACTATTTTGATTTCGATATTCGAAGTTATGCGGGTTGTCCGCCATTCGGCGCCCTGTGTCGTCTTTTTTTTTGCCACACAGACAAGAAAAAGCGCAACACCGGTAGCAAATCTGTGACCGTTTGAGCTAAACGTCCAGCATCAACTGTCCCTGTTTATCCCTACTGACTGTTTCCGAGTCACAGAAGGGTCTTGGTCGAAGACAATCCGCCGAGCAGAGACCGGTCTTTGATCATGGTTAACCTCGGATGGACGACAATCGCTGAGCGAAGCCTGAGGCACATGGCATCATTTAGCCAGCGAGTATCAGATCCGTTCACAACGAACTGCCACGGATGTCACTCGCGCCACACGTTTATCCACAAACGTAATCAAATTAATTTGCAGCACCGTCTCTAACACTATTTCTATATGGTACGAAATACGCCCAACAAATACATTCATAAGAAAATTAGAGCACGTTGAAGGTTTGTAGTTCTACTAAGGTACACGTTATATATAGCTTCGCCTAGTATCACATTGCCTTTAACCTGTTGGAGCCGCAATGTATGTACACTCTTCGGAAGCGAAAATAAAAATTCTATACGGGGCACGCTTACGCATCTAGACAGGAGCAATTCCGTTAGATAGAAATCAAGTTTTTTTTCTTCATAAATAAGTCAAATAGAACACTTACAATGGCTGACGGATATAGAGTGGCTGGGCTTGCGACACCGTGCGCGACATATGCAGAAGCCGGTTCATATGTAGGGACTGGAACAGCGGGAACTCCTGGGTTGGTGGTACAGTACGAAGGTGCACTTAACGGCGAGGCCGCTGTTTCGCGACAGGGGCTAGTTGCCGCCACAGCAGTGAACGGCGTCTGAAATACGGCCAAATACAGCATTTTTTTGAGATATTGCGCTAAAGAAAAACTGAGAAAACCATATCGGTACTCTGGAACTGAAGCTACATTGGTCAGCTGATACTGATTTTTTAGTACGGGAAAGCCACTACTTCGAAGTGACTGACGAATTAAAATTGTCCCGAGGAAGTCTCTAGAATGTATAATTTTGTGTATCGAACAAAAATCGGCTCGTGTAAAAAAAAATATGTATGCCAGGGATATGATAAGCGATAGAAAAGCTAAGCCATATTTATATTGTAATGGAGCCAGACAAAATTATCGGCGTGAATAGCGGTCAATGTAACTGCTCGAACAGGGCGAGCGATTAACATTCACCATGATCATGTATACGATACTGTCTACGATTAAATAGCGACTGAGTTGTGTAAAATGGCAGGCGTACAATGACCTAGAAGCGTCAGCCTCTTAGTATAGGCTACCTTGAACGTAATGTCGAACCTTGAAATAGGTGGCAGCTGGCGTGTGAGATTCACCCCGAGTTAATAAAACTGGGCTCGAAGTATTCACACCCGAGCGTAGCAGTTTTCTAACCAAGTGACTAAAGCGGTTTTCGGTCGCAAGGAAATCTAATAGTGAGCGAGAGAGAACTCTATTAAGGCTTCCCCAACAATGCTGTGATGGTGTACTAGCAACGTGTTTGCTGTCTAAACTTAGAGGCATGTACCATAGCATCTGTTTGAAACTTCGCCTAGATACACTTCGTTTCGTCTAGGAGGGGGCAACCGTCAAAAGCAATCTTTCACAGTAGCATTGGACTTGAAATGCGAAACATTTGATCTCGCGGAGGCCCAGTCACCAAGCAGTGATAGCGTGTTTGTTTATTGAACCTAGGAACACGTACAATGGCCTAGGTTCGAAGTCAGCCATAGGCGCATTTACGTTCCTGTTGAGAAGCACCAGCCGGTGAAAAAACAGTGTGAAGAACTGAAGTGCTCCAGTTCAAATGTCTCTGGAGAAATTAGATAGTCGTAGCTAATAGTAAGGAAATTATCCTAAACACTTGTTAGGATATGTCCTTCACGGTTCATTTATTTACTTTTATTTGGTCGCATTCTACTAGAGCAAAAGGAGTACTCGTGTAATGTAGCTAAGGACACTTGTTCTACTATAAGCTTTAAGGACAGCCAGATTTTATCTATACTGATTTCTTTTGAGTATGACAACTCGGCAACAGGTGCTTCACGTGGTACTCAAAATGAAAAAGAGCGCAACGAAACTAGCTTTCAAGCCACACCCATAATCTGCTCATCTATCAAGAAAGCGCCGACTTTTTACGAGTGCTCTACACGGAAGCTGTAAATTACCTGTGGCAAGGGTGCTGGTGGCGGGCTATTCCCGTTGTAAAAACCAAATCCCGCTGTGTAGTTTGCCATTTGAGCTTATTCTTGAATTGACACGCACTATATTCAGTCTATTGTCTGTCACAATACGGGCGATCAAATCTACAATTTAGAAATCTAGACGACACCACAGGATCAATCTAGCGGTACACACGAAATCAGACTACGCTAGCCACGGCAGCTGTTCCACAGACCAACTCAGCTTGGCAGCACTGTTCGAACACTTTGTCAACGGCGCGCGAATATCTCTGCAGTACCCGTGACGAAGTCCAATTTACCACGGTTTTTTCTTTATCGTTTTCGTTATCGAGTCATCTACGTATATTGTCAGGCGTTTTCCCACAACCTCTTATCGTGAGTGAATGCCGTTACCTTTTCATCATGACGATACCATTCCAGGAACCATTTATCGCAGCGATCGCTGCGGATATTCGCGGGACCGAACGCACATACGTACACAGCCGTGCTCGCGTCTCATTCCACTTGACGCAGCTGAAACTGGTGGCAAACAGCATAAGTGCTTAATTCCATCATCTGTCCTTCGGCTAAACTACTGTCATGGTAAAATACCACGAACAACTCTGGCGTTTGGCTTATCCCAAAGACGCGGCAACGAAGATCGTTGTCAACAACAATGCTCAAGATAGCGACAATGTCACACTTCAGCTGACGCGGGAGAGGAGGAACAAGGGAAAGAGGACGAAGGCAGCAAAGGTCGACGTAGGCAAAGATGAAGACAAAAATGCGCGCCCCGCTCTGACAATCTCTAGAAACGATCTAGGTCGAACGAAGTAGCGACTGCTAGAGGCATGAAACAGAATTGCTATGCAGGGTGTCAACGATGAATACGATAGCGACAACTAGGTTATTTCTTTGATAATAGCAGAAACGCAAAACAAGGACACGGCGTGTGCGTTCTATGTTATGTCCGGACTTGAGCCGTCCTGGTTGAATCAGAGCCTTCTGTTTTCGATTAATTCCAAGAGTAATGCTTGTTCGCCAGTGTACTCTGCGCCTCGCTCAGCAATTTCTTACAGAAGAACGGCTTCAAGAAAACCATGTAACCCTCCAAGGGTTACTTCAAACCTCGCTAGCCGGACAACTCGATTGGATGTCGGTGCCTGGCCCCGGTTGGATTTCTGTTGCTTGCGTCGCTGCTACTACAGCCGCGGCTGCCGCTACTACTGCTCGTCCTGTTGTTAGGGTGTGTTAGCCGCCGTGTCGATATCTTCCTCGATGTCGTTTTCTTTTTTCTTCTACTTTGTCCTCGGAGCTGTCCTTTGTTGTCCTCGCTTGTCGCTGCCTGTTTCTGACCCACTCCGGGAGAGTTAGCCAGTAGCAGCGGTACTCATAGTGATGGTGCTGCTGGCCACCGGGAGTAACAGCAATGTTAACATGCCGTGTTTCCCTAGTTCTTCTGGGTTGCGCGCCTCGGCTGGTTGGGTCGGGAGGGACTGCGTGCTGCCGGACCGGCTTCGTTTGCCTGCCTCCGTGTCGATCTCTTTGCCTGTCTATGCTGCCTACCTCGTGCTGCTCCTGCTCCTTCCTTTACTGCTGCTGATCCTTCCTAGTGGTGGTAATCCTGTCGGCGCGGCTTGTCTGAGCCCCTCTTCTTTGGCTACTCGCTTTCAGTTTCTGTCTGCTCGAGTACTTACAGTAGGAGTGTAACGGCCCTGGCAGCGGCGGAAGCCGCGGCACGAGATACGCCTGCCTCTCTCCCTGTTTGTAACGTGCCTATACCGTACCGCGCGACGAGCGGAGCAAACCAACTAGTCACTGTTTTTCTAGTAGAAGAAGTGAATCAGTAGAAGTCGTAGTGGTGGCAGTACGCAAGCAAGCAAGATTACAAAACTGACTAGGCCAGCCAGACACTACCAGCGAAGGATGATACCGATGCCCCTGGTATTGTCGGCGCTAAGCTGCAGCATTTGCAGCCGCTCATTGACACTCTCCGCTTGCCGCACTTCCGCACAACCGGAACGGCAGCGGCGCCGGCTTCGGTACTGCGAGGTCATGCCACTGCGTTGGCTGCTGTTGGCCCGCGCTCCTGCCGTCAACACGGGTGAACCAATCGCTGCCTCCTATGGGCGGAGCGAGAGGAAAAGCTCCGCCCAAACAGCAGCGAGCTCTGCGCATGGAACGAGAAAATCGTTCGTTTCTTCGTGTCGTTGGCAGGAAGATGCTATGATACCAGCAACTGGATCGCTGGCTGGTCGGGTAGCAGCGCTCGACAAACGTGAGGTCGCTCGTGGATATGATGCCCGTGATTGCCGGTTACTTCTGTTTGTCCAGAGGAAAAAAATTACGCTAGATGGTAAAAAGCTGAGAAAAGCGCTCACAAGATCCGCGCACACAGACAAGGACTCTTGTAATATTTGCTAATAAATTACTAATGGATAGTTATCAACGATGGTGGAAAGCAGTTGATGAGTAGGTCTATTGGAAGATTAATTTGGAAAAAATGAAAAACTAATTGGAAAGAGGAAGATAGAGGGTAAAATACGTTAACGTTTGTTGAATGTGACAGTTGCGAGCAATTGTTGCCAAGTTCGCCAGCATGTTCACTAAACACTGCTAAATATATATATATATATATATATATATAAATAAAAAATAAATACAAGTGATCAGGTCTAAATACACTATGTAGGGGTTATGAAATTTTCCTGAGCAATTTCATACTGGAGATTTTCGAAAATCGGAAATACGAAAGTATCCGCATATTGTATTTTTGCTTAAAAGTGAAAGAACGCTGTCATGATGTGTACACTAAGTTGATATGAAACCTGTGTCTCGACATGGTTTAGACTTTGTAGTAACTGCTGCAAGTCAGAGAAACATCTGCTATGACTACTATGCAATAGGGTAATGTGGTTTTTATCTTCGTTTAATACCGTTATGGGATATATACTCCGTTATTGTCCGATCCGATATTGTGATATTACTAGGCTGTTACGAGCGAATCTGCCTAACATTGAAATTTAATAACGTTACCCTGCACACTGCTAGCAGACATAATTCAGCTGCTAAATGCTCCCACCTGCTAAAAATTAGGGAGTGAAAACTGGTTGTTTACTATCTGTAAAATAAATTAGAGGAAAACTTATTTTTGAAATGAAATTTTCGAATTTTGATCTGATTGAAAATGAATTGTTAGTAGTGGGGTTTTTTTCGAAAACCACAATGCCGCAAAAATGACGATGGTACTAGGCAAGGAGTCTTTAGTGAGAACAGCACATAAATGAAGCAAACTTTTCAGGAATGGAGATCAGAATATTTAATTCCAGCGAGGAGGTAACCAAATGTCAGGACTTGAAGGACAAGAACGCATTTCTGTAGTCAGGAAGGCTTTTTAAGGAAGAGCTCAGAGTCAAAGAGCTTTATCGGCCAATATTGGCATTTCATACATAATGTGTTACAGAATTATGCCTCAAATATTGAAAACGCGGAAGCTAAGTAAAAAATAGGTTTTCCATTAATTAACTCCAGGCTAGTTAAAAATGGTATTCCGCGTTCAGTTTGAGGAATCCATCAAGAAAGCGCTTTGGAGTACTTTGTCGCCGTATACGAAGCATGGCTCAATTTCTACCGTCCGCCGAAAAAGGACCAGGTGAGAGAAAATGACGTCGTCTTAAAGCGAACTAAAATTTGGAGGCAGTGTTGAACGTACCGTGATACTTGTATTTGTAATGGACATCAAAGACATCTGCCACAGTCTGAGATACTTACCAAGAATGAAACAATGATGCAGCCCGCTATTTCGAGTTCCTCTAGCGGATTATGGACCGTTAGCACAACAATCGAGTCCTCGCAGGCTGGTCAGTTGATAACAATGCCAGAACTCTCCGCCATGCCTCGATTACCTCCTGCATTGAATAAAGGAATATCAGACGTTGGTTTCAACCCGCCTGTTTCCTCGATATAAATCCGAGCGATTATGACGCTCTTCTAAAAAAGAGGAAACCGGTGGCCAGGTCCATAGTAGTGCTAATTTACTTCGGAACCTACATATGAAGACATGAGTGGCAGATATATGGCTATTCTGCTGGAGCGCTAAAAATTAAATGCCGTGTTAAAATTTAACCTATCAAAAAAAAAAACATTTAACATTTTAGCTTAATTAGCAAAGGATTCAATTCAATTCAACGAAAACTAAGTTTTCGTTTAGTTATTCAATTGAAGTCCGCGTTATTCGTAGGCTAAAGAGATCCCCTATATGGGGCCATTGCCCATAGACATCTACACGCAGTAATCGTTATATATATATATATATATATATATATATATATCGGAGATATATCTCCGAAATCCATTATCATAAGATTAGTGCTTCGAAGCGAAGCGGGTGAGAGACCTATGTAGCTGGAATGGCTGAGTAAGGTGGACCATGATTCGATGACTATATTTCAGTATAGCTAACAGGCAGGTTTCTAGTATCCTTTATACTATATTTTGCATATGTTGGTCCTCTCGACAGTACGATTATTCCTTTGTTTCCATTACACGTTTTAAAATGATTGTGAAAAATTATTTTTGTACATATATATATATATTTATATATGGCAGACGTTTCTCTGACCTCCACATGGCCCTTATTTACCAACCCGAAAGATAGATTACGCGAAAATTGAGCTTTGTATTCTGTTGTGCAAATTATTATAATCTACCAGCTACTGCATCATTATTAGAAGAGCACCATACGGTAACGACGCTGCAGGTGTCAGCTTTTTTCTGTGAAGGCAGATTGACACAATATCCAGTCAGTTTGGTCCTGATCGGTTTTGCTATAGAGAATAATACCATAATAGATACGACATAAGAATTCCGCAACGTTTCAACGTCCCTATGGAAGACAATATATAGCCCAGTGTTCTAACGACTAGTATGTCAGGTATTTTTAGAATCTTTAGACTAGGGCTATTGATTAGTATCGCAGGCTGACCACCTTCATATAGATAGATTTCTTATTTCAAAGAAATCTATAAGAAATAATTGCCGTTTTATGAGCGATCATTCACGCTGTTCGTCCCTTTTTCTGGAGTCGGCTACTCAAGTCCGCAATTATAGTTATACATGTATATCTATATAGAACAGCTTCCGCAATACAATAGCTCTGTATCGCTGTATTGTTAACTTTGACTCGTTGTAGTTATTTGATCCGTCCCCCGAAAACCCCCTTCAATTCAACACATACTCCTGGTCAAATTTGCCCTCAACAAGCGCCCCCAACACCCATCCCGTATGGGTTCCAATCCCACATTTTGGTTCTGCAACTGTTCGCTCACTGACCGGCAGTGGCGTGCGACGCGTTCCAGCTTTAATAAGCACCAACAGCTGTTGTGATGCGCTCTGTGAGGGGAACTCTAAGGCTTTTTGCATATCGAGTTGTTTGCCCTTTGTATTAAACGATTGCCTGTCGCTTTAATTCCTATTACGTACAGGCGTATTTGTATAGACGAAACTCGATGTTACCGCTGTGCCAATCAATGAATGTATATAATTATGTCACTTTACATTACCCAGGTGTCTAGTGGGAACTGATCGGAGACCCTACCGATTCGGCGACCTGCTAAGTCATACGTTGAAAACCAGATAACACGAACACGCTTACGTATCGCATTACTTACGAGCATCCGCACAGAAGGATGGGTAAACGTAGGGATGCTGTTGAGAAGTGCCGTCGTCGCCTTTGTTGTTATTATTGAAGTTTGTTCAAAATCGAAATATCGTAACAGCAAGAGGAAAAGAAGCCGGGCGAGCATGATCCGGTCCACTCGACTGGCTTCGAGGGAAACATCAAATCGTCGTCGATCGTAGTTCAACCCGGACGAGCCAAGAATGCTCGATCCTGAGGCGCAAAATGGGGTATGGTAGTGAGAAACGGGGAAAACAGGGTAATGTGGCCTTTTTCATCATTCGTCATCCCGCGACGTCCTAACGCACGGCTGTTGATCTCGTCCTTAGCCCCCTATTTTTTCGAGAGCACCTCGTGTTAAAGAGACAAGCCGACTTTTCGACATTTCTCCCAACTAAATTCCAAGCAGCCTCGTAACGTTCGTTGGCAACTATGGGGCGGTGACGATCTTGGGCATCCTTCTAGACTGAAGACATTTCAACGTATGCTGACAGTCGGTAGAACCAATACTAGCCACAAGCTAAAGACCACCGCACGATGTTTATATGCTCCCGCCTCAAATATACAATAGGTCTATCTATCACAACTAATTAATTTCAACTGAAAAAGGAGAGGACGGGGTGAATGCTGGTATCAGTCTGTACAAGTATGGGCCTGCGAATTGCTAGATTTTGCTTCTGGGTGTTTATAGCTGTTCTATTGTACATTGCTCGAACAGGCTATATGGTATAGGAGCTAGATTGGAAACACCATTGTTTTTCCAAGCGGAGTTCATATACGCGACCGGAGAGTCATTGCATTTAGAATAAACCACGCTCAAAACGCATTATTTAATCATTACAGTTTGAAAAAGTCTTCCTAGACAACTGAGCGCAACACACCACTAGATCTGTTCCATTTTTGAACAGAACCAGTTAAGTTCACAGTAAGAAGCCCAATATTGGCTTTCTAGATGAAAGCAAATGAGAGCAACAAATCTGAAAATCAACAAATTCACATCGAGACTCAGATTCATGAAGAAACAAATGTTTTAGCTCTTGCACTATATCAGATTACAGCTGGCAGGGGTTTCAAAGTCGACGAACATTGAGTGAGGTGAAACCAAAAATTGACCCCACGAGTCAGAAAGCGGGGCTGCGTGTCCAAGGGAGGAAAACTGGTCCCGAAAAGTGTCGCCAACTCTGTGATGAATGATGGTGTAATTGTGCGTATAATACACAATGGCTGGGAAATGGCTGCAAATTCGATGGCGCTCCATTAGACGCGGCTCTGGGCGGTCAAAAGTGATAAAAGTGCAACTTCGTTTGCAGCGGCTACAGCAGTTGTCGGTAATAAACCCAACTGTAGTAGCAGCCCGTGTAAAAGCGAGGTCACCGGATCAGGACCTGCCTGACGGGAAAAATTGGCGGGAACAAGTAGATGCAGGAACACGCCGCCAGTGGCAGAGTTTTTGGGGGAGTACTATGGTTGGTAGCTTTGCTGCCCCAAAAGCCAAATTGCCTCGGTTCGTTGCTTTATCTTCTCTTCGGTAGCCAACTCAGTTGGTCCTGGTTGAATTGAATCGGTCGGTAGGTCTCACCACCCTTTCGGCCAACAAACGTCAAAAGGCAACACGTCGAAATAGGCAGAAGGTATGGTGTGTATATATATATACGAAGAAATGAGAGAGAGAGAGAGAGAGAGAGAGAGAGAGAAAGAGAGAATCCTCACCCGGGAACGCCAGGTTGGAAAGAGCTAAGGATCCTTGCTTGAAACGAACTGTAGCCAACGGAAGCCATCGGTTGAGCTAGGAGAATAAGTTGCTGGGTGAGTCCATAAACCACTTCATCATCGGCTGCTGCTCCGTCGTGACGAAATGACTGTTGGAGTCCATGGGCCGGAGCAATCTATGGAAGCTTTCTGAGCAGGTCCTGGCCAACAAAGGAACTCATTCTGACGGCGTGGCATATACGTATATGTGAGCAATTTATGGAACTGCTTACTAAGCTGTAATTGATTTGTACTTCATATTTTCGATAATGGTTTAAAAGGTAGCTCACACGGTCGTAGAATACGAAAAACGTCACGAGTTGTTAGTTGCAACAAATTAGAGGTCGAAATTAGACAACTTTTTCAGTTCCTCATCCTCACCTATTATTTGCATTTATTTTGCTTAAATCTTTCCTAATTTTCTTACCCACCATTTGACTCATGCTTTCCCTGCGAACTGTTGACAATGATGTACCTTTGATTTTCTCTATTTCGTTTCTGTTCTTCATCTCTACCCTTTTCTGCTGCTACATGCGCCCTATGACCAGATCGCATTGCAGAAAGAATATTGCCATTGATGTCACAAGGCGGCAGCGGCGGCTGCCAGGTTATTAATAAAGAGATATTACTTATTCATGAACGGACGAGCAAGCGATTTCTTCTGCGTGTTGGAAAGACCCGAGTCAAGGCAGCTGCCGCAGCTTGCCTTTGCTGTTGCTCGTTGTCACTCGTTCGGTCTGTACCGGGCGCAGCACGACCCAAGGAGTGACGACCGACGTCCTATGGAACTGCCGCCCACATCAGTCGGAAGTTGTCCATCCAGCAGCTACACAGGAAGCAGCAGCAGCAAAAACCAGGCTCCGCAACCGCTACTACTATTAAATAAGGTGCGAAGTGATGGCAAGTAGAGGATAATCCTTTAAAACGTTACCTGAAAGCGAGCTTTCACTTGACGTTTTTCGACGTTCCATCCTTTAAATGGATGTCGATATATGTAATATCCATAAATTGGTTTGCGATTGCAAATTCCCATACTTTACTGTTACTAAAGCTGTTACTAAAAAAACAATGAACGCACCGCTCGAGTTCATTGATTTTTTCAACTCAACGCTTCAGTGGAACAGCGGGGATCTTGTATGCAAGCCGTTTCGTAAGTAGACGAAACAAGACCCAGAAGGGAAATGCGTTTGCGTCAGATACATCGCTTGAAGGTCCATTGGGCATATCAAACTTCCGCATAATTTGAGAATGATGCACGTTCATTTTTTTCAATGTAAAAAATTTTAAGTATACTTCGCAATAAACTGGTCCTCATGCTACCACATGTACATTTCACGGTACAAGATTAGTAGGAACTAAGCTTTCGTTATTGATGTAACCTCTGTTTATCAGGTACGGTAAGTTAGTGGCACCTAGACCGGCACATCAATGGTTAATATTTATGGATTGATTTGGTTCCTTCAATGAATTTTATTTTTCAGATAAAAGCACTGCACTGACAAATCATACGATTCTACATCGTAGTGATAAGAGCATACTTTTTAAGATACGTATCGTGTACTGCTGCAGGTATTAACGCTAAGGCACCATGTAAACAAATTAATAACTCCCCGTCTAGAGCGGTACGGCTTCCGGTCGGTAAAATCTGCGCACTGGAGGGACCAAGCTTCCCGCTCTGGCCCGGTCTGTGAGTGGGGAAATTCATGGGTAGCCAGTAGCTCTTGAGGGGCAGTAACGCAAGATGCAACAGCTGTCACCCGCTTTCATCAAATCACTTGAAGTAATAAAAAAAACCAACTCGCATTCAACACAACTACAATCACGATAATATCACAAACTGCTTAATACGTTAAACCATGTACTATCATAATGAAAATACTTAAAACCAAATAATGTTTGGTATAAATACAAAATTCTACACAGATTTCATACAAATGCCCACCTTTGGCGAAAAACAATTTTATTAGCAATAACTTCCCTAGACGAATAATGGGAAACACTAATAGATTGATTAGCCGCTGATCAACTACTATATAAATAACATCAAATGAACAGAAAAAACACTACTTTTTTTTCACTTCATCACCTTCGAATGAAGGATGGATCGATCACACATTCTCATTTACATGTTCTGAAGAAATTACACGTACCTTCAGTGTAGGCGTTTGACAGCAGATATTATCGAACGAGTTACTCAAGTAGTAATTTTTGTTTTATTGTATTGTCCTCGATAACGGCGTAATGATCGAAATAAGACAAGGTAATGGAGTTCACTGGAGAGACCTCTAGAGTAAAAGTGTTTCCAAACACCAACGCAATTGAAGTACCCTTAGAAGTCATTGTCTGAATCGACGTTCACGGATTTGACGTTTGGCGCTTTCACGGCACCAAAGGCGGCCAGATCTACGTCATCAGAAGAATTGTCGGATCCGTCTTCATCCTCGTCTAGCTCCAAGTCTGAATCGGAGTCCTTCAAAGAATACACGGCAGTAAAAGTTTACGGAAATGCTGCTTGTAATAAAACCATAAATTCCGAAATTTCCGGTTACCTGGCTTGATAATATTTATCACAGAAAATGATTGTATTTCATACTGCCAAATCGCTGAAAGAAAAAGTATATATCGTAAGCTTGCTAAAATCATACGCAACCGTCCGTCAAACCTCGAACCTAGTGTCAAAGATAAAGTTTTCTACTGTGTACACAAATTACGTAAATTTGTCACGTGATTTCACACTGAGAGAACGGTTCACACGGCAACATTGTGGTAATACGTTAGCGTTACTGTACTACGTAGCCGGACCGTAGCTGCTGTATTGTGTCCGGTAGAATATACGATAAATTATATAAAACTTCGCTTTTTTGATGACCTTTTAAGGAAGACTGATGCGGTACATTCGCGATAGCTCGGCTTTACTTAATGGGATGGTTTAAAAATTACTCGGTCTTCTCAAGATGCGAGATTTGCAATCACGTTGTCGAAACAACATTCTTGAATATAGTAGTACAAATACAATGATCCGACGGAAAACTTGCACGCTTTCAACCATGACTCTTTTAGCGAATTCACCTAGATGCTCGGAACCTTTGATAATTGCAACGTCACACGTTACGAACTTCTGCCTCGGAAGTATCAGCATTTTACCTTATCTAACAGCCGAGAGTTGATTTTTATAGGATACCACCGATGGAATCGCCGGCTCAAAATGACCAAAATTTCTCGGACGAAATCCTACGTAAAGACTAATTTCCCTAATCGCTGAATGTTCTCAGCAAGCAGGGATCTTAAGAGTAGTTTTACCCACCGAACAACTGAAACGCGATCCTGGTATGTAAAAATATTGACCCACATTTTGGCCTCCTTAAAATTGGGACAGTACTCAAACACCTACGCGTCATCGACATTATATCATCCACTAACCCATCCGTTGATTGTTTCGTTTTTTTCTGCAAAAACACAGAGAAATTTACACGATGTACCGACCACGACAGATCTATTGTCATGTCTAGGCGTGGGGTATCTAAGCAGTGGTAGTTCTACGCTAAAATTTAGGCTGCATTAAGATAATCTGAGCTTGCCAATATTGGGCCTGTGTAAGAGCACGTGTGGCATATGCTAAAAACTAAACGTTAAGTTGTGAATGTTTTTTTTTTTTTGTGGAAATACTCTGTCTGAGAATTGCTGTGAAGTTTTCTTCGTCAAGTGTAAAAAAAATACAAGAACATTGGCCGGGCAATTTGACCTTTAACCGCAAGCTGCTAGCAAGAAGCATGCCTATCAGATAATCGTTTCCGGCCTGTAGCTAAATTTCGCGCCCTAGCTGCGTATATAAACGGGCACAATTTCGTATTTACTCCTCGAAAGGTTACAAGAGACGAAGCGAGATGACGTTTGAAAAAGTAAGTGCAACTATGGAGTGGTTTATAGATTGGTTTCTGTGAACTGTGTTCTTTCAAGCAAATATCTTGATGTTGCTTTGCAATAATGTAGTATTTAAGGGTGGGGCTGCTACAGTAACCTGCGGACGAAGGAGATAGTTGGAAAAAGTAGAAAAAAAAAAGACATACAGAGTCATACTCAAACCTCGTGATGGTGTACCTGTTAGGACTTAACGGTTACCTTGTGTAGTCTACTTCGCCTTTCGTCAAATGAATTTGCCTTATGCTTTATGAAAATTTTGCTGTATTGCTTCAGATAAAAGGAAAGCTCGACTCCAGGTCTAAATCCAGATCTCGCAGATCCAAATCTCACCGAAGTAAGAAGAGCCGAAGATTACGCGGGAGCAGTATCTGGCCACGATCTCGTGGAACCGATCGTGATGACCGAAGAGACTCTGGATCAAGTCGCTCTGTCAAAACTAACTCGGGTGTAGAGTCCCCACAACGCGAAGACATGAAGGTCGTGCACGTTCAGTCGACCCGCGGAAGCGGATGCAGAATGGTAGCCTACGTTGTAGCGTTTATGTGTCTCATATCGGCTGCGATATACGCCGCGCACAGCTATTTTGAAGGCTTTGAAATACCCTACTTGCAGCAGAAATTGTTTCGAGGGTGAAAACGGAGAACGACGACAGTAGGAATTTTTTTGCGGGGATGAAGAGTCGAGCAATTATGACATAAATTACATGGAAGTAGAAAATAAAATTGTGGGCTTCAACCTATGATATGATACCTGTTTTTTTTTTTACCTTATCAGGCGCAGTCATAGATCCGAAAACTCGCTGCCTTCTAGTAACGTCCCGGCGTGTTCTGAGCTTCCCGGTTCCGTTCATGCCTTCATCGCCGTCATTAGTACCTTCGACTCCCATTTCACGCATTTCCCCAACCATTTTTTTCACTCTCTCTTCACGTTCCTAAAAAATAGGTGGCTTCATATTTTTTCAAATTTACGCGTTCCCTAAGAACATATATTCACTTTTAACTAAAAATAAAAATTCAGTTACCGCCTTCTCATACAAATACTCAGTTCAAATAAATATTCAGAGTTCAAATAAATATTCAGTTCAGTTACCGCTTTCTCCTGAGTTTCAAGACGTTCCAGCTCCTCTAATTGCTGTTCTAGGTATGCCAAGCAGCGGTACTTTCTTACGTATTCCTGATATACTTCTTTAAGTTCGTCTTCTAGCACTTCGTACTCGTCCATATACGCCGGCCTGTGAAAATGAAATCTAATATATCGGATTCTACTATACTGAAAACTCAATAACGGGGAGTTTTGTAGTTTTATCCGTGAATATTTAAACAAAACGAACAAACAATAAATGAAAGCAAGAAAAAAAACGTTCAGATAATAATATGCTCAAAAATAAAAATGAAAGTTTACTGTGCTCACCGTACTGCGCGTAACGTTTGAAGTCTGTTTTGACTTCGTTCTAGCTCCTGTTTGCGTTTTTCGATCTTTTGTTCAAGATTCGTCTCATCCTCGTGAACATTCGCAATTAAAGCGCGGGTTTTCTCGATATCCGAACGTACAGTCGTCATCACCTGTCCTATACAACGCTCTACCTGTAATTAGACGCGGTCCAGTTATCTGAAATCAGGTCCTACCTCCTAAACATACGTGAACATTATGGTTGAGAAGTTTTGTATACAAATGTGTTGATGCACTCAATTTATTAAATTAACTCATGTTTTTCATATCTTATGTGTATTCCGCGTGCTTCAGACGAGTAATTTATAATGTAACAATTTTTGACCAAGAGACCGCACACTCTTTCTACTACCCGCTACCCAGTACTGTTGCAAAAGCATCGTGTTCGCGATAGTCGAACATTTGACTTAAATATGAAACTCTCGTATTCCTGAACAGGGTTCACGTCGGATGGAAGATCGACGCTCTGCAATTCAGCTCCATGGACTCACCAATATACTACACAAATAATATATAGCGGATATAGACCAGAACAACCATGTAACACATTTAGAAGCGTACTAAATGAGTGGTCATATCTAGGCGAAACGAAGATTGCAAAAAGCAAATCATATCGACAGACAACACAATGTCATTGTACTAAACATGAAACAAAAATTACATAGACTGATGTATAAAACGTACTTTATACGGCCATATTTTCATCACGTGTCTGTAACGCGAACCTGTGAAATTTCGAGATATCTGGATAAAGCATCGTTCCGTACTTTCTTGAGTTCTACCTCTTTCCCAAGAAGATCAAACAGTGATGCTCCCTCACTTGTAAGATCACTTGCCAGCTGGCGCGCCCTACGCAACTCTGAAAACTGCATATATTTACTTTATTCTTAGGAGCGACCGTACAGATTACTTTGGTCAGGCATTGAGAAATGTATTTAGTTTGTTGATTAGTGGCTGATTTTACTGGAGCTGTAATGGGAACTTTTCAAACCGATACGTTCTTTGGGCTTGTATGCTCAAATAAAGTTTATTCAAATCTTGAATTTTTCCTTATAATTGCGATTCGTTTGCATGCTTTGTTACTAATTATTACCTTTGACGATACGGCGTATGAATCGTAAACATTTTCGTCTTCGTCACCTTCGTTCTTTTGATCGCCATTGCCTGCTGGCTCCTCCTTAAGTGTACCCTGAAGCAGCTGAACTAACTTGAGGACCTCACGAATCGCGTACGCGTCAGCTCCATACAGCCGCTTCGTACTCAGCTTCAGATTCGCTTTCAGCATCTGCAAACGAATGAACGAAGATCGTTTCGTGGTTATTATCACATACGTTAATCAAGCCAAACAACAATCATTATAAAAAAATTACGCAACGTTCTAGCTAGGGAGCCAATGAATATATGCACCTATTCTAATGAAGTTGACCATGAATAAGAAAATAATTGTTTGTTACTTCTGGCATTTACCATAGTTTCAGCAATCATTTTCACGAAGTAGACTCGATCATGTTCGTTGTTGAGGTCAGGGGGCAAGTTCAGCTCCGGCTCAATTCGCGTCATCAAAAACTCGAGAATTTCGGCAAGAAGCGGGAAGTTTGGTTTCTTAAATGAGTCCATGGGCAACAAGCGAGAATAACCTAAGGCGCGAAGGCTTTCAATCAGATCTGCAAAGATAATGTGCGGATCACTGGACATTAAATTTTATCCATTTTAACTGGAATAGTTTGGCTAATGCACCCCATTCTGTACTGGCAAAGGTCTATTGCACATTATTTATCTTGCCGATTTCATATAGCGCGACCCAGGGCTATCTAGTGATCATCGACCAACGCTCATCTAAAAATTAACGGATTACAAAACTATTTTCGCCAAGTTATTTCTACGATTCTAGATTACTCCTTGTATTACACTATTTTATGCATCAAATATATGCACTGGTATTGAACGAGTATTTTGTAACACAACTGATCGGAAGTTGAAGCACTTGAGATCATGCTATAACTTGGGAGGGGTACGCACTGCTTTTAGGCCACCGTACGGCCCATTGATAACTACCTACTTTTGGTTTCCCGATAAGACATGCTTGTAGTAGTGTTAGTGGCAAAAGAACAACTGAGAACAGTAAACTCTGCTTTATAATTCGTCGCCAGGCCTATTAATAATGAGTCTGCCTTTTTACAGGAGCCGACGGTCCAGTTGCGAGGCAACGCGCTGTCAAACAAACATTGTCACTACCAGCCGCAGATGGAGCGGAAGGCTCTCTTGACCGCATTTTTTAACCAATAGCACAGCTAACAAGCAGTTGACTCGTACTGTATCATTCGACTACATAAGCTGTAACGACACTTTGCTACAACTTATACACTCATGTTTAGTTTATAACCTGTTTGTTACAAATTTCCAATCTCGTAAACTTTTTTTTCTATAATATTTGTAATAAATTAATTTATTTATTTTTTCTTAAGATGAATTTTTTAGTATGCGATGAACAAGATAATGAGAAATATGTTGACATATATAAAAGTATACGATTATACCATCGATTTTAATCGATTAATCATTCCCAAATCTATGAATGGCTCTATTTGTTATAGTTATTATTTTTTTATGTGAAGTTATCTGACGAAGGTGTTCCTTATGATAACAATGGCTTCACTAGCTAGCCTGCTTTCGCTATTTAGGGGCCAACATTGGATAGGTTACGTATTTCAATCGTAATCCTAATCCTAAATAGGTAATCCGTCAAATGCAGATCCTCTAGTTAGTTGGAGGCGGACCAGATTTTAACAAATGTTATCAGTAAAGTGCCATAAGGCGAAATTTCGTCTTCGCTAGCCATCGCCGGTTATCCTAAGCAGAAGTTGGAAGATCTTTATTATTATTATGGTCCGAGGTACTTCAGCCTCAGGCCATCTGACGATATAAAAAATAGTGTGGCGCCTAGACCGACTATGACACTTTCACTAAATTGTGGTGTAGAAGTTCTTTGTTACATTTCTAACTTGGATTTAGAAAAAAAGTGAACAAGTGGAACCAAAACGAATAACGTTAACTTAAACAGAAGTTAGCCTCTTTCATTTTTGCAGCATGTCTGCTAATAGTCCAAGTCCGTCCAATCACAGTTGAAGCCATTATGGAACAGTAAACGGACAGCAAGAAAGAAATAGCAACCCAGATTTGAAAACACTGGCGAACTTCATTGTCACCATATCGTCTGCTTAAGATAGTTTGTGAAGTCAGCTCAGTTTAATTCAGGTAATTTTTTGCGTGAATTCTTTTATATTGTTAATGACTGCTCACACCCCTATGAAATCACTATACGGACCCTAGTGTCCGATGTGTGAGAGAAAATTTATCCCAGATAGTTAAACGAAATTTTCTAATGTTTAACAGATAAACCGGTATTGGGAGACGCCCATTTGTGAAAAGGTTGGACGATCCAAGCGTAAAGGACTAACCCAGAATTCGTTGGCGAAGTTCATGTATCAGGTTCGTACTGCTGTACAATTTCTGTACCATTTGTTAACTTATCGTAACAGGTGTTAACCTCTCGTATATAGATGTGGCTCGATGTTTTGTTGACGTCTCATGGTGAATCGAGTTTGGTACATTAAGATTGTTCTCAGCCGCTGTAATATATTCACAGTGTTCGACACATTTAGTGTACAATGGGTTTGCAACAGTGAACAATCTTAGTAACTTCATTTGTTAATAATAACGAGGGAAGTTGCCAATGATGAACACCAAGAAAGTTGCTGCTTGATGTTGCGATAACTGAAATAGTTTACAGTCCACAGAACAAAACAATGGCGACGATCGCAATCCCAAAGCATCGCCATTACGTTACGATTTCGCAACTCAGAGCTCGGCAACCATTACCGCAGCTTTACAGCGACCTGAAAGAAACCCTGAGTCCCTTTGCCGTTGTGTGCCGTGCGGTCAATGCTTCTACACATCAAAGGAAGCCACTGACCACTTTGAATCTATACAGCACCTCCGCGAGATGCAAACCCGACAAGTTATTGTCGCCAGTCAACCTTCAGCTGCAATTAAAAGGTGATAGGGGATTTAGACTTAATTTTCATTCTATTTGACGTTCACAAAGATATCGTTGGGTTTCTGGCCTGGCTGATACTATCGATAACATTATACACTATACTATGTTCTTTATTCATATTCTATCAAGGCACTAACGATCGTAACAGAGCGACAAAAAAAACATGAAAACAATGCGGGTGGTCATGCAGTGACCACAAAGTCCCCACGGATCACAAATCCACATTTTCGGCAGCAAAGACGTTTTGCTTGTTCTATGTACTGCTATAACGTCTCTCCATGCTTATAGATGTGTGCCTCATTTAAGAACTAAAGTTTAATGTGATGAATCGATCTTGATTGAGCTATACCAGATTTATGCGTCGAGAGTCGCGCGTTGTACGACCTCTAACCGCGGAAGAGAAACTCGTACATAGCAAACTCCTCGAACCGCTATTGGTGTGCGGGGATGGAGAGAAGTTCGGCGATTTCATCCTTAAACATGGCCTGTTCACGCCTGCAGAAGCCAACACGACCTAGCCTCTTAACGCTACTAGGCAAGGATGGAATGCATAGAAGATAAACTGAAAATTTTGTCGTTAGTGTTGAAAATAGACGACGCCAGGTAAACACGCGGCAATCTGCTTGGGCGGGAGTGAAAATTACCTTCTTAATCTGTTTGTGATACTCATGTACTTCGCGATTTTATTGTTATCGAATATGTAAAATACGTCGTTAATCGTCAATGATCGGATGAACGGATATAAAGTTCCTGTGTATAATCGTAGAAGCTTGCTATTTTTAGTTCGGTGCGCCAATGCGGGTTACGAGATGAGCCTGTAATTGGCGTTTAGCGTAAATTTCGTTAGCTTTTCCGCTTTCTGTGGCATTGTCAGATTCATTCTTGCTCACGTAGGGGACACAGCATCTGCCACTGTGTAGGTCATTACCGGCTTGAAACTAGTTAGCGTGATCACGTTTGTAGCAGTAAAGTGTCTACAACAAAATATTGAATAAAGGTCTTTCTCATTTGAGTCCGTATTTGAGTCCCATAGTGTTTTCGCAATAGAATCAAAGTGTGCTAATAGCGATCCTGAATATCGAAAGTAATTAACTGCTAACAAAACTGGATTAGGCCTTTTGCTTAACGTTTACCTAGGAACGTTGAACATCTCACAAAGGTCTTCTTGTTTAGCTAAAGGTAGCTGCGTATCCCGCAAAGGATATCCCAACACGGACCAAGCGTCGGCACGACATTTTTTGCCATCTACGAAAGCATTATGAAAATTCTAGTGATAAGTTTATGATAATGTAACGATGCGGAAATATTTGAATAAGGTGCAAAATCTGACTCGCACGAGTTGGCAGCGCAGCCTCAACACAAATGTTCAGTTGTATCGGTCAGGTGTCTAAAAATTAACGAGGCCAATAATTAAAAATTTCATCCGCAATCACTGATTTCAAACCGGATGACCTTGCCGTGTTGTCGCTGAGTAGAGCTGTGTAGAGTTTTTAACGAGAGTAACGAGTTAAGATAAATTGCTTTTTTTTTCTGCAGATCACCTCACTAACGGGCCATAGCTATCGTTTTGTACTACATATCAGTTAACTGAAATCTGAGTCTGCGGCAAGCCTTTCTTTTAAATAAGAAAAAACCGGTCTTACTTAAAACGATACTTTATACATATCTCACACAGTAATACGATAGTTTTTCATGTTCCGCATATACTAGACTTTGTCACTTCTAATATAGCAGCTCTCAGCCTCGTTCAAACTCTGCGTTCCTTAACCCTCCTCATCTTTTAGCGTACTTGGCCACACCAACCAGCCACCAAAACAATCCATCCATCCGCTGGCTGTTCTTCTGCTGCCTAAACATTATTATTCCTACAGGGCACCGTCAGGCACGTTTTTCTTCGTAAAAGCCGCCCCGAAATCACCCTTGTGCTTTAGAGCAGCACAAGTTTTTGCAGTGTCAGACAACTAGCAGCATGTAGTGCATATAGCACAGCATTAGATCTCTCCTGCGTCCATAGAAGCGCAGCATCGTGCGGGTAGCGGGCCATCGCAAGCAATCGACAAAAGTTAATGTCTAAGTGCTGTTGCCGCGGCCCGCACCAAGACCACTAGCATCCCATCGGTAGGCGCGGCATGCACCGAGTGAACGGTGATCTGAACGAACAGTCAAAAGCTAACTAACGACGACCCTTAACCATAACAATAACACGCAGCGTCAAGCAGAGCGACGATACACCAGTAAAGAAAACAGCAGGACAAGCAGAGATTACGGTAGCAGCAGACTAAAAAGAGGGAGAGGCTGGCAGACAAGCTGGTTGTTTATCGTCTCCGTATTGTACGTTTTGTATAGTGTAGCAGTAGGAATGTGAAAATTCTAAAGGGGTTTGTGTAGATGGATTGCGTAGCAGTTGTAATAGGGAGAGGAAAAGAGCGACAGAAGAATCAAACTAATCTAAGGATCAATAGGAACGTGTAATGGTTATGCTATTACTAGCAGCAAAGGCAATACTAACAAAATAAGCAGTACAGATGAAATGAAAGTATCTTTAGAAGCGGTCGCTGCTTGTGCTAATGTGTGTGCACGATTACGTTTAGCTGATGAATCTTACTCGGTTATCAGCGAGGCTTAGATAATGTGAGTACCATTAATCACAATGGAATAAAAGCTCCCCTGTCTTCAAAGCAAAAAGGAAGTTCGGTAGCAACAGTTTAGAAGATATTGCTACTTTTACTGTGCCAGGAAAAAGGCTGAGACGAAAACAAATATAGGAGAGAAAGATTGTACCAAAGATCTGTTTCGCCATACAGCCGCGTAAGGAGTGGCGTGAATCTACTGATGGTGTGAATCAACGTATAAAAATTTTGCATGTATTTTGTTCTGGCTATCGTGGTTGTTCCGGTCGCTTACTATCGTCGTCGACGCTCATCCTCGACAACCCCTCCCGGGTTGCTGCGAGGCTTGCAAATAAATCGCTAATGCGGCAAACAGTCAATCAATGAACAGCAACAGTTACTACCTCCGTCAGCACGGGCTCTGCTAGAAGAGCAAGGTGCTGGTCCCACGACGAACTGAGGTGGTGGGGTGGCACCTGAGGGGGCAGGGAGACCACGGCAAAGGGGCAAAAGTCGTGAGCGATGGCTGAACGCCGGAGGCCGCCCGTATCGGTGGTAACAACGTCCCCAACTCTACACTCGGACTATACAGCAGGTCTACCGTCCAAAGGAACGCGACTATCGGTAACCGTGGTCGAGGCTCTCCGAGACCTGATCGTCGTGTCACTCGATCACAACTCCAAAGTCTACCAGGGAGCGTTGCTCGATATCACGAACAGGTTCGTATTCCTTCAATTCATTACTAAATAAAACAATCTGATATGCTAGGTAGTTGGATATACCGTTGAGTTCTCCTTATTTTAATATCCTTATCCAAATGCACTACTCCGACGGATCAGGACTGTGTAGGGCAAGGCCTAACAGTTTAGTGACCATCACGACGTATGCCCAAACTAGCAAATAAAAAAGTCTACGAATTTCTGTGAAATGCAATAGTTGCCACTGTGCGAGTACTGTAAAGTGACCGTGTTTATTCGATGTATAGTGTTAAAGGTTATTATTATTATTTATTACGTGTTACCTTGACTAACATATCCACTAAAAAAACTCTGCTTATCGGTGACAATTTTAATGGCAGAAATCCCATTACGCAGGCTCTAATGTAGGCTTGGTATTCGCTTAATCTTCGTGCTTATTTCTACTCTTCCAATTACTGGATACGTGCAAGTAGAGATTTACGTAGTCTACACAACATAGCGTATGCGAATGTGTTACAAATTTTAAAAAAACGTTTTCTAAGAAACGCTGAATTGGAATTAGCGGTCGATGCTTGGCGAATCCGTTTGATTCTTTTTTCGTTGATAATTGCTTAACCGGTATGCTAACGGTCGTTTCGGAATTAATATATGTGCAAACCGATACTTATGTGGCTGTTCTTTTCTTTAGATCCAAATAAAATAATCGGAAACAGCGACCTCATTTGTTTAAAACATTTCACAACAAATTTATCTACTGGTCGATGCAAATTTCCTGCTTGGATTTATTATTTCGCCATGAACAGAGGACTCGCCATTGAGAATCCGCCTCTAGCAGAGATAACCTGCTATTGCGTTTCGGCTGCTACGTCGGACCCAGCTGTTAAATAATATGTGCTGCTATAGAGTTACTGCGAGTTAACGACACAATTACTTAACGGTCAAAAACGTCAATTTACAGAAATGAACGAATGGAACTGAACGAAATTTCGTGTCTCTACTGGCTCTAAACTGGTGATTCTGTTAGATCACATCTAGTCATTGTCTTGGCAAGCAGTTCGTATGGCACCATACTGCCCGTCATTATAACACGATATACTCAAGCTTATCGATTGATGTTAATATTGTTTGGTTACAGGAAAAGATGCTCAATTTCATGTTGTATTTTAGTGTCACAATTCGTTCAAGGGATCTGCGTATATTGGCCATTGGAGGTTGCGTTGGGCACCGCTCCAAGTAATAGTGAACGTACAGTCACAATAAACATCGACGATTTCCAATAATCGCTCGTCATTGGATACATCAATTATATACGGAAACAGAAATTAGGCCAACTAGCCAAGTTCCAAGGGGAAGCTTAGTTTTCATAACACTCGATCGATGTATTTTCACCCAGTCATATTTAGAATCGGCAAAGCAAGAGAGCCACTATGCTGTGACTCTTAAAACAGTTTATAGTCACGCCACTCATTAAAACTCTACATATCGAAATTGTATAATGGGTGCGTGAAACCACTGTAACACACATAAACTTACGTCTACTTGCAATATTATTTAAGGAAATCGTTTCGTAGTAGACAATTCCTTTCAAGTAAACCCGTAGTATGGTCGTGTTTCGAGATCGAGATAGTTCCCGTTTTAATGCTTCCAGCATAAACATGCTAATAAAAAAGACGTAAGATTTATAGTGAAGCCTTTAATCTCCGAAGCTCGCTCACTTCCAGCCACTTTAATAATTTGATAGTCTAATAATTTATTAATTTTTTCACGGCCGTTTGCTAGCTAATAAGTTTCCCTCCATAATCACTTTCGTCCCCAGTGTAAACGAAATGTTGTGATTGGTCTGAGCTGCCACCTGCTACTGGCAACCAATGCGTTTATTTCGTGCCCACCTCTCGATTCTTAGTTCTTAGAGATTGTCTATTCAGTGAACGGAAACTCCGCAGCTTTAATGACCATGCCCGTTCTACAAACTATACACTACTATTTGTTGTTCACTACCATTTATAAGAAACGCTATGTAAGCTTCTCTACTATCTTTTTTTTAGTATGGCTGATGTTACGAAGTCATATCTAACTTATGATGTATCTATCATTAGTATTATATTTCAACAAGTTTAAATTAATTCAGGAGCCCATACTCGTTGTTTTAGACACTTATTGTTAGCCTTGCATGTGTCACGCTTGCAGATCAATAAAGCCGTTCTGTTCATCACCGTTTCCTAAACCGGAAGACTCTGCTGAAGATGAAGCGATGTTCGCGCTGAAAATGCGGCACACATACATGGTATCGTCACGGGAAAACGAAGCGCCATTTAACGGTGGCATCGCTGGCCAGGGAACGGGAAAAGCTATCGAGCCCGCCAGAGACAAACGGGCGCCTCGCACGAAAATCGATCAGCACGTGCGCATGAGAAAACTCCGACCAAGACAGACCCTTTGCTCGAATTGTCAAAGCAGGTGGGTAATATAGATGATCATGACGTTTGCATATAGTACTGCAGCGGTAATTAGCAATAAATTAGCAACATTGTTTCTTGTCACCAGGTCACCAAGTTATCTTTTAATATTATAGATTTGTCCTAAGATATAAATATCTTGCACATTTGTCTTTAAATGTTTCGGTAAAATTTTTCTAATTGTAATGTGCCGTTAAATTTAAGTATCCTTGCTTCTTAATGTAACGTTTGGATTACCACTTTATAGTACCTCTCCGCACCTTAATTCCTAAAGTACGATTCCGAGGCAATTTCAAGAAGAATTTGATTTTATTGGAGCCATTTGTCTACAAGTTGTCGTAAGAAGCTTCGCTTGAAGTTTAATCTATAGTGGTGAAAATATATTTCCTTAATCGATGATCCAGAACGACATTTTAGGTAATCAAGACAAGGCAAGGTTTATAAAATACAAGCGTAACGTGGCTCTAGTTTTGTGTAATGTTACAATTTGTAAATTTGGCTTTGTGGTGTTCTAAAACATCTGAACTCTAATAGTGTGTTCATTACTACCCTGTAAATGGACTACTATTATAAAGGTCTTATGCCACGTTGTTTTCACAATCAGTAATAATACAGTATAACTCAGTTGCTGCATACTTCATGAATTCACAATCTGGACTGATCACAATATCAGGTGCGAGGATGCATCAACTGGAGCTACAACCACAACGAGTCGGGGCTCAGCAAAAAAAAACACAGCGCCTCTTGTATCCGTTGTTCGGGGAACTAGAGAAAGTCATCGAGCACCTCCTCTCGAAGCTCCTCAGGGTAGCGGCGGTAAAAGCGGAGGTGAGCCTCCCCATCCGTCTGTGCCCACACAAACTTCCCCCTCTCCATGGACAGAGGAAACACCTCCACAGGCTGACGTCTACGGGTCCGTGGCAGAAGACCCTCTGATTAAAGAGGAGCTCCCGAGTAGTGCTCAGATGCCAGAGTCTGAAGAACCGGCGCGACGCCAACAACAACGACCGCTGTTACCGCCTGATCATGACCGGCGGGAACGGGAACGGGAACGAGAGCAAATAACCACTGCGGCGCAACCTGTTATGACTTCACGTAAAAAGCGATCTTCATTGATAACGCTAACATCGAAGGCAGGTGATGAGCGGAGAACCACTCGGGCTGAGGTGAAAGCCCAGCAGCAGCAACAAATTCAAACAGAGCATCATCACCTGGCTCTTCCTCAACAAAGCCCTGTGATAAAGATCTCGTTTAATAACCCCCAGGGCAAAGGGACAATTGTCAAAATTCCTGCTAAGGTTGCAGTAGCCGACTATGAGGAGACGACTTCAGATGATGAGGAAAAAGAAGATTTTGCTGCGGTTCCTGAAGCTGGTTCAGTTACCGGTCCGTATGCAGGTATTTCCCAAGAAACAGAACGCTCCGCAGGAGGTAAACCTAAACGACGTAAACGTGAGACCACCGCTGAGGCAATAGGAGAGAACATGGAAAATCAGCCAGCAGCTGTACAAACGTCTGTTAGGCACCATAAGCATAAGGCTGGTAAGGGAAAATGGAGAACATTCAGTATATATAGAAGTGTTTGGTTTAACTTCGGTAGAATCAGTATAGAGTTTATGAAGCGATTAAACTGACCCTGTTGCATGCCTTATACAGTCCGAAATATTATTGATTAATACTGTAGAATGTCGTATACAGCTGTAGCATTATCCAATAATATCTACATTTGACACAACCGGATTTAGGTAAAAAAAAAATGCATTTTTCGTAACCCAGTTAATTAAAAAACACATCTCAGTGATTTGAATGTGTCATATAATTGTCGTTTTTCGTTGAACTTGAACAAATTATATCGATATATATGATCATTTAGCAGTTCAGGAAGTGATTATCTCTTTGTTGAACTTAGGAAAACACAAGAGGAAAAGACATAAAGAGTCCGGAGGAACGGAAAACACAGGGGACAGTGATGGAGAATCGGTTCCTAACTTCCCACAAGCAGCGGTTGGGGGAGGTGAGACAAATAATGGAGAGGAATTTGCGGTGGCTGCGGCCGATGAGCCGCTCCGAAATGGTGACGTCGTATGGGGAAAGGTCATGGGATTTCCATGGTGGCCAGGCAAGTATCCAAGTGCCTCGAATATATCTAACTGGTATCTACTGAAATTGTGCTGGAGATATGTAGGGCGCGTTACCTTACGCACACTTACTATAAATGGCAGTAAGAATTACGTTTTTATCTTTTAGAACCTGATACAATATTGAAAAATGTTTTCTAAAAGTATCCACGTCTTCCCCTTAGGTTTCATTAGCTGAGTTCGAATTTATACACCGCCAAAATGCCATTACTATTTAACGAGTGAACTATTTACGTTTCAGGACGAATCTTGTCAATAGGAGCAGAAGATGAAACCTCGTCGGCAAATGATTCTGACATGGCTCTGCTAAATGGGGAAGCACATGTTGCGTGGTTCGGGTCTTCCACGTCATCGAGAATCCTGACCTCCAGCCTGGCTCCGTTTTTGCGTGACTTTAAACTGAGATATAACCGCAGGAAAAGGGGACCGTACAAAGAAGCAATACGACAGGCAACTCAGGAAGCTAAAGCTAAAACCAGAACGGGATAGGTGCACGCGCTTTGCAGTAGTATGCGGCAGATTAACGCCTGACTTAGTAGAGACTATCACATAGCCAATTCTCAGAGCAGCAATGTCCGTTAGAGTGATTTAGTGACGGCTATCTGTGCCGCTCTTCTAAAAACGCACTTAGCCTGAGAAAATTACTCGTGGAGTGATTTTAAGTTAGAGAGTTTGTACAATATTAATCCCACAGTTGCTTTTAATATCGGCAGGATCTTAACGCCAAATCCACTGATTATAACAGTGATAGCTCAGTCACATACGGTAGCAAAAAAACAAACTAATAAAATAAGAAACAACAACGAGAAGTACTGCCGTTAATGGCTTCCCTTGCTAGTCACTAGAACGTCAACCACTTGCGCATTTAGCACATAAAGAAAACAAGAACGAAACCGCATCAAGAACCATAAAGCGAAAAGAGCATCTCCTACAATATAAAAAAAAATAGAAACTGAATCAAAAGCGTACACTACGGGCGCAGGCTTACACGAATGGAAGAGCGACACGGGCAAACGAAAGCGTGTTCATAGACGATTAGGGCATGACATAAGAAGTTTATGGTTGCACAGCGAGTTGTGGGTCACTAAGGATAATATTATCGTATACAATTAACTAGGGCATTATAATCGGAGGTGATCGCACTAGTTATTATTACGAGGCGTAGCCATGTAAGACACCTACGATTTTGTTATTATTGCCATAACTTACACTACGTTGCATTATTGTAGCAGTTATCGATGTGTAAGTCTTTGCTTGGCAATCTAGGACCCTGCCCATTTGATATGCGGGGAATATCGAAGAAAGTGAGTACTACTAATGTTGTGAATCTGTTACGTTTGTTTAGGATTCTTTGTTTAATTTTGCTTGCGGGCTATCAAACTCACGGAAGGAAAGGGGCAATCGAATTGTTAGAGTTCGCGTTGTCTTTTATTTTTATTATAATATTATGTTATATAT